AAAACTATAGATCCGATTTTGTGAATACAAGTTCCCATTATATTTGCTGTGGGGTTGTGGTTTTTTGGAAGAGGTCAAGATTGTTTGGACTTGGTAAAAACTGTCTTGGCTAAGAATATCTAACCCAACGGCTTGTCCGATGAGGTGATCAGTAGATCAGTCCTGCAGGCAAGACCTGTTTATTTCGTCACTGAGCCTTCTGCTGACTGTAGTAATGAGTGCAAATAACTGCACCCACTACTTGATGTCCAGTTCATAGTGTGAGTATGTAACCTGCTTTAATATCTTTAGAGAAAGATGGTGGAGATCCACTGTTGTCAGTCTCCAACCTCATCAGGGTGATGAAGCAATGGACAGCCCTAGTTTCTTAACCACCTTCATCTCACAGCATTATTCTAATAGCAAAGAGAAAGATCATCCTTGCAGAATGTGTGTAACACACTGTGGTGTTTAAAGAAATGACAGCACTGGAGGAGGAAAGCTCTGCGTTTCTCTGGGGACCTGTCATGCTGATCAGGGAAAGCCATCTTCATACTCTCACTGGATGGCGTAACAGCCAGTCATATGGACCCAGAGGGAGTTGTGACAGCACTGGAGGTCCCTGGAACAAAAAAAAGATTACATTGTAAGGATTTGGAACTGTTGCATGATGTTTTCCAAGAAAGGCTCCTATACTTGAGTGTGTGGTTGCTACAACAATCGTTCTTGGGTGGTGACAGCTTGATGGAAATCTTTTGCTCCTGCTACATCCATGGAAGTGAATTCAAAAACATACAGGATCACAAACCAAACACTAAACCGAGAATAACATAACTATGGCAAGATTTTGTACTTGCAGAATTGGGTAAAGAACAGATACAGGACTGGAGAATACAGTACTGTGCAAAAGTCAGAGACCTACCCTTCACTTCTTGTTTTTCAACTTCCATTCAAAACCACAGCAAGATAGTCAGAAAAACGCATAAAACACATATTTTACAGAAATTTGCACAGAAGCCTCAACAACTAAATATAATATTAAATGTTTCAGCATTTAGTGTGTCCATCCTTTGCCTTTATTACTTCCTTCATTCTTTTTGGGAGACTTGCTTTCAGTTTTTCAAAGAAATCTGCAGGGACATTTTTCTACACCTCTGAAGTTCAGTCTTAAATGTTGGTTGTGTTTTCTGCTTCTCAATATCTACATTGGGGTCTAGAGTCTGGGGTGGCCAGTTCATTGTTCTAAGGACACCAACAGCTTCTTTTTTTAAGATTAAAATTTTCTACTTTTGTTTATCCATTTCCTTATTACAGAAATGAGTTTGGTGGTCTACCAGGTCTTGCATGGTAGTCTCATTTTCTCTCTATCTTTTAGTCATTTTAATTTGAACTCCAGTTTTGGAGCCCGCTGTTTTTTCACTATTTTGCTTTTGAGTTTCTCTTGCCTTATGCAAATGAATCATTTTATATCTATATTTCCTGAAAATATATCCTAATTAATGAATAACTTGTATTTCATGGCTGTTTTGACTGGACATTGCATAAATGATGACTGGTCTCTGACTTTGCACAGTATGCATATTGGTGGTAACAGGGATGCTGATAGAGAACAAAGATGAGAATCCTGTGTAATAAAATACACACAAAATGTTTAATTTTTAGTCCCACAAACAGTTATTAGATCACCTGTATTGAGACAAAGTAACAAATCAAAGGAGCAATTTCATGGACCTATGACCTCTTTACTCCTTGTTCCTCTCTTCCCCAGATTTTCTTGGTCATGCTTTGTCGCAGGGGATCATGTTGTCACAGACCCCCAGGACATCAGAACACCACAGACAGGAGAGCAGCAGTCTTGACTGCAGTCAGTGTGTCCTGTGTACTGCTTATGTCTACCACTAGAGGATGATATTTTACATGTAATGTGAAAAACATCCTAAAGTATGTCACAAAGTACTGTATGTTTTTGACTGTATTATTATTATTATACTTTTATACAAAAACATCTAAAAATACATATATATAGATTAATATTAATAAACTTGCCTTGCGTGATTTCTTTAATACCAAAGGGAAAACAACTGGAGTCTAATTCTAGTCAAATATGTTCCGCCTGATTCTCAATCAAACAAGGAACTTAGGCCATAATTGTTTGAAATTGGTTGTATAAATGCATCCACCAATAAACGTCCATAACAACTTTTACTCCATCTATCTGCGTATAAACAAGAAAAACTCTCCAAAAGACTACAGTGAAACAGAAAATCAGTCAGACAATAGTAGCCCTCCTTTTTATTCTCACTTTGTTAGCATTGTGCATGCTATGTTCAAAGCTTTTTGTTTTGTTTTGCTTTTTTTTACCTCATATATACTCAGAAAATCTCTCTACGTTCCCATATTCACAGCAAAGATGAAATACTAAACCATCACAACAAATCATCTGTGGGGCTACAACATAACAAAACGAGGCCTTTACTAAGCATTGTTCAAATACTTCAGTACTGCATCCTGGCTTGCTAGTTCCTCCTACTCCAGTCTCATACTTTGCACTCAGTAGCAATTATGGCTGGCACTTTAATATGCTGGTGATTTCTAGCATTTATACCTTTGGTCTAAATGAGCTGTTTAATGACTGCCGTGTTCACATTTGAACAACTACAGTTAATGTATTTATTTAATTTTACATGGTAACTCAGCTACTTTGCTGCTTAAAACAAACCGTGTTCACATATATCCAATTCTTAAATCCATGATCCTCTCCACATTTACCTAGACTAGAGACATTTAGCTGGATATGAGCGCAACACAACAATGTGAAGCACGCTGATGGGATTTTTCTTTTTGTTTAGGGAGTAAAGCTTATGTTGCGATTGAGTAGTAAACTATAGAAAATGATTTGATGAAAACTTGTAGCATTTACTTTGTTCCCTACATTAAAACAACTCTATCATATAATGTAATAAAGGTTTATGCAGTTCAAAGCATAGAAATCGACATATTGACTGATAGTAACTAAAACTATTAATAAAACCATACATGAACTATACATCAAGAAAAAGTCAGGAATGACCTAGTTAGGGCATGAACTAAACCTAGCTGAAAATTTGAAGCATAAAGGCTGGTGTTCATCTGCAGTACCCAGGGAAGCTGGCAGATGATGATGATTCTAATCAGCCAGTTAGGTTTTTTGCCACCCGTCTGGCTTTGCATCTGTTTGGATCTGATCAGGACATTCTTATCAGGGCTCAGTTCTGTAGGCATTTACAGATTCGAAATTTAATGCAAGGCATAATTTTACCCATTCAAAGTCTGTACACCGTGTGTACTGGACAAAAGTGGACTGATATTAACCCTTTGTGTGATCAGTGCCACCAAGGGCCAGCTGGCCTGATGCACGTTTTGGCGATGTCCCTCCCTAACCCCTTTCTTGCAGTCCATTAGCTAGACGACTCATTATCTTATTTTGGAAGTGAAGTTCGCTCTCGTCCTTTAATCTCTAGTTGAAGGACTCAATGAGCTGTATACACTTAGAGAAAATCAGACGCACAAAATCAGGGGAAACACAAAAACATTCCATCAAACATGAGATCCCCTTCTGACCTTTTTCTCTGATTACCAAACCTTTAGTCTTTAGACACCCCCTTGTCCTCTTTAAGGTCATTAAGGTCATTTATTTTATTAATAAAAGGTATTGGAAGTAAGTTCATTGTGGAACATTACAAATACTTTAATGCTTAAAAAGTTCCAAGTCCTCACACAGTGAGAAAAAAAAATACTGTATAGAAAAAAGATGCATCAAGATGCATCGATAATCGTTTTATAATTGCATTGCAATCATGAGGTGCCTAGAGATTCCCACTCCTAATATATATTAAAGATCAGGACATCCCTATGTTTAAGAAATTATCACTACATATGCCCTATTTATGTTTGAATAGAAACTGCTTAAGCCTGAAAGGGTTCGCCGCAGTCTGGGCTGTACGATGCTACAATATTGTCACACATACAAGGAGAAATTCATTCTGTGCAATACAAAAAAGTTCAGTCGCATGTGTATGATAGACCTTCGTGCACATGTGAACATCACTCAAATATTTTGCTCAGTCCAAATGCTCACAGTAGTGAAATATTCACAGTCAGTAATTTGTGAGTGTGGTGTGTGTAATATCCAACATTCTCCCTCTTCCCAAGTCGTCTGCATCGTACAAGCTGCGACACAGGTTAAGTTCTGGAGTTTAGTTGTAATCCATCGGATAATGCAAATGATACAGAACAAATCAAGATGTTTGTAAACAAAGGGCCTCGCAATGTACAAAATGCCCCAAACCTGTTTAGTTTGGCGCTGTAATGTCATATAATTTAAGTATTTACTGTTTGTTTGATGAAAAAAGTAGTCCTCCTCAACGCATCTCTGGATTCAAAAACTGAGGCACCCCATGCAGACTTTGCTATCTTTAACCTATATATTTTAGCTTATATATTTTATGCTGGTTTTAGAAAAAGCTGATTACATTAAATCACAAATTAAATAACACTGAGCCTTACCTTTAGGTCATAAACTATTTCATTTCGCATTTTGAAAAGCATGACGTGCATTTCTGCTGGTGTGGGTTTCCTTATGCTGAAAGATGCAGAAAAACCGCTACCTGAACGTTAATAATGCCCCCTTGTGGGGATCCTGGATTATTGTTGAAAATACAAATCTGTACATTTCGGACAATAACGATGTGTTTCACTTATTAAGATATTTGCTTTTAAGAAGCATGAAGTGTTAATGCAGTTTTATCTCAGTGCTAAAAAATGTTTATGCTACAACATCTGAAACTTTAATAGCACCAGTGCTGCACGCTCAAAACTTTTACGTGCTCCCAGAGTAATAAAAAGTTAAGAAAAAGGAAATGACTTTGATAGTATTGTTTCATACACATTTCATAAATTTATATTAACACACACACATGAACACACACATGAAGAACCACGTCCTGCTAATATTTGGAACATATCCTTTTTTTATTCCAAATGATTTATGTCTCTATATATTTAACTTTAGAGGGTGGTGGCCCTCCTACATAACCCCACATTTTATAGCAATAATAATAACAATATAATCTGAATAATTTTCTCGCAGTTATGGCTGGAACAGAAATATGAGAAACTCAGTAATAGAAAGGGCAAAACAAACAAGAAAAACAGCTCACTGGCATACCAAGGAACACACTCTCATTCACATGCTCGCACATACATACAAGAACACACTCACCCAAGCATGGAGCAAAACGTATGCACTTTAATAATTTAGCCTGACCGGACTGATTCCTACTTTTGTTTACTACAGATTTTTGGGTAATGTTCATCTGTTCTGTAGCAGCTTAAAGTACACCTCACCATCTTTACAGATTACAATCATTTTTGATAATAACAGCAGTACTGCTGTAATACCAGTATCAGTCACTCTTCCATCATGTCACAGCAATGCATATGAGGTGAAGCCTGACCCCTTTTTATTGTGTTTACTTTACAGTAAACTTTAAACATTTTGGATGTTAATCGCTCTTTACTCTTGGGAAACCCACCCTGCCTTTTACCATCCAGTCACTTTAAGGGTAGATCCAGCTGTTTGGGCAGAAATCAAGGGACAGAAAATTAGATTAAGTGATAAAATGTCCACTAACCAAGTTAAAAAATAAGTCTTCAAAAAACTACTGTCCATAGCAACACAGAGACAGGAAAGGGACAGAAAATAAAAAGGAAACAAAGAAAAAAGAAATTAAGCCAGGAAGAAAAACAACGCTAGAATACTTGTTTTCTCCAACCCTTGGTCTTTTGGGGTGAGTTCCTTCTGAGTTACAAAAAAAAAGAGTTAAAACCCATGTCTCAGTCCCCGGAAGTCACTTTAATTCTGTGTAGTTCTGCATGGTCCTCTCGGGGGTTTAAGGTTTAGCTCAAGTCATCCAGCTCACAGTTATGGAAGAGAAAAGAAGGAATGCAAACCCCAAAGGTTGGAAGCCATATTCCACTATGATGTCTGGAACAGCAATGTTCTCCTCCAGGGCTTTTGCTCTCTGACATGTTGCATAGTACATAGTCATGAAGACCAAGGTTACATGATTCTGGATGGGTCGGCCCCCACTTTTGCATGTTTAGAATGGGATGTTGATGAAGAAAGTTGGTCCAGTTTGTCTTTCTCAATCTTGAAAACACAAAATATCCCATTACTTTCAGGTCCCTGTTACTGTGCTGGTTTCTCTTCTTAAAATATCTTTACAGCTTTCTCCAAAATATCTCATTTCTGTTGTGGTCCAATCAGAGGTCAGAGTGATCTGATTCCTCCGTAATTGACATCAGTTTGTTGAGATTGTTAATCTTTTGCACATTTTTGCGCATAGTGCAGCCTGTTGCCTGCAGATTCAGTCCTGCTTGCAGAGCATATCTGTGGGGGGTGTTTTTGTGGGCGGGACAGGCCGTGGAGGGGGCGTGGGCTTAGGCTTGGGCCGGTGGGGGCTGGTTGACCCCCCTCCTTCGCTGTCGGTGTTTGTGTTAGAGGAAGACGGGGGTGGGGGAGGGGGCAGACGAGGGAGGGACGAGGTAGCCGAGGCTAAGGGTGGGATGCGCGAGCAGGAGGACGAGGCAGAGCGGAGGCTCTGGATCCGCCGACACTCCTGGCACACACGCACGTGAGTGCAGCCACGGGGCGGCGCCGGGGGGAGCATGGGAGCCAATGGTGCAGGGGGAGGTGTGCTGGGCATATTGGCCCCCAGAGGGTCCTCCAGCAGACGCTGTGGACCTGGGCCCACGTCCAAGGGACCCCCGCCCACACCAGCTGGTCCTGCCGCAGCTCCAGCCAACGGTCCTGGTCCTGCCCCACTGTAGAGCTTACCGTTGCTTAGACGCATCTCACGCACCAGCCTCACGGGCCGTGGGGCACCCAGGGGAAGGCGGGCAGGATGCCGGAGGATTCCGTGGGAGGACAATGGCCGCCGTCGCCGCAGACGAGAACTCTTTTTACAAGAAATAGCGTTTCTGAACTCGGTCATCATCTCCTGACACACTGAAACCTAAGGACAGAAGAAAAGAGGGGATGGTGAAAAGACAGATGAGAAAGTACAGAATACAAAGAATATAAAAGAAAAAAAGAAAAGAAAGAAAGAAAGGAAAAATCGCTTGCATTTGAAGTGCTACTTAATATGAAGTAGAGGAAGATGATAATTTAAAATGATACTTGTGATATTAAAGGGTCTGTATCATGGAAAACTGGATTTTACTCACAGTTTTGAAAGTTAAAAGAGTTTTATGTAGTATTTAAACATTGTTAAAAAGTTTCAGAATGTACCATTTAATCTCCAGTCCATAAAGTCCATACATGGAAACTAAGCTGCAATCCTGTTTTTGTGATGTCACTAAAACGAACTCATTTACATACACATCTTCAATCTACAGCAGTTTAGTTACGCTCCCATTTACACTTAAGTTATAACACAAGTTTTTCAGCTCAGACTTCTTTCTGAATAAAGCACTTACAGGGGTGCCATGAATTACAACTGTTTTTGATACATAACCCACACCAACTTTATAAGTAAAAGAAAGTACAAAAATGTGGAATTTTGTAATATTGGGATGTATTCATACACAGTAAAAGTGGCACGTCAGATCTACTTAAAAAAATACTTAATGTGGTAACAATTAACTAGTTTTATTCAACCTAAATAAATACTTTGAACGAACGATTCTTTCAGTCAATGTACTTTTTCAAATTGAATAAAACTAGTTCAATTGCTTGTTACCACATGGGGTCCTTTTTTTAAGTAGATCTCACGAGCCACTTTTTACAGTGTAGTGATACAATAATACTCCAATGTGTTCAAATTGATGGCTGCAATCAATAACTTTGGTTATACACCTCATCCATATTGTTGCTGTCAAATAAATTATTAAACAAACAAACAAACAAACAGTCCATTCAGAGATCCATTCACTTCAAGTTTCCAAATGACATCTGGATTAGGTGCAATTTCACTATGCAGTTTCATAGACAAAGATCAGATTATTGTGCACAGCACACAAAGAAAAACAAAGAAGCAAATTTCTCCTGTTTTTGTGACTCTATGCTTATTATTGTCCATGTTTTGCTAGAAAATCACTGTCTAGCCTCTGGGGTTGGGGCAAAAATGTGGACTATCTAGGCACCATGAGGACTAGTTTAAGAACCCATGCTCTAATCGACAGGTCCTGGAGTATGTAACCCCTGCCTTGCACATTGTAGTGTGTTCTCTGCTTTAATCGACCCACTTCAGCTCAGGCTTCTAATTGAGCTGATTATTTGGATCAGATGGGCTGGGAGCAGGGAAAACACAAAAATGTGCAGGTCAGGAGGTACTGCAGGATCAGGGTAGGAAAGCAGTGTTCTTAGCTATCAACTCAGTCAGTGCTCCTATTCTGTGTTTATATATTCCACTAAACACAGCTTAGATGGGCTGTGAAAGAAATGAAGATTTATCAACTGAGCCATCCCCTGACAAACTGAAACCCAAGAAAAGAAGAAGAGAGCTAAGAAGTAAAAAAAAAAACGACAGTTGCACATGAGAAGTATTTTTACAGGAGAATTAATGGTAAACTCGGTGCCTGATACATACTAAAACCTAAGAAAAAGAGGGAGAATCAGGGCTAAGAAGCAGTAAAAAACATATTTAAGGTTGTTATGATCAAAATAAGTCCAACTGCAAAGTAACACATTGTCAATAGCGCAGATTCCCTTTTTAAAAATACATAGACATGCTAGCAGGATAGAGGGTTTCTTGGATCATACATGATAAAACCAAATGCTGTGAGATTGTATGAAAAAAGACAGAAGGCATTCAGACCTGTTGTCTACTTACAATCGTATGCAAAAGTTCATATACCAGTTTCAACAGTTGTGTATTTTTAAATACAAAATAAAAAATCCACTGCAGGGAAAAAAAAATCAAATGTGCCATTTTTTTCTGCAAATTGTAGTGCACAATTTCTATTTATTTGCTAGGTTTAACATATTGGAAAAAAATAAAACTTTTATTTTATAAAATTTTCACAGGCAGCATTTTATCCATCCATCCATCCATCATCTAAACCGCTTATCCTTCTGGGTCGCGGTGGGGTGCTGGAGCCTATCCCAGCTGTCATTGGGCGGAAGGCAGGATACACCCTGGACAGGTCGCCAGTCCATCGCAGGGCAGACAGACAGACATACACATTCACACACTCATTCACACCTAGGGGCAATTTAGCATGTCCAATCAGCCTGACTGCATGTTTTTGGACTGTGGGAGGAAACCGGAGTACCCGGAGGAAACCCACGCAGACACGGGGAGAACAGGCAAACTCCACACAGAAATGACCCTGGTCACCCAGCCGGGAATCGAACCCAAGCCCTTCTTGCTGTGAGGCGACAGTGCTATCCACTGCACCACCGTGCCGCCCGGCAGCATTTTATGTTTCATGTTTTTAAAAATGTTGATCTCAGCAAATAAACACTAACTGTGCATAAACAATGTGCAAAAGTGTGTTCTCTGTAGAAGATGTGTTAACTTATTTTCACTAAAACCTTTGCATACAACTGTTTAGGTTGTGATTAACCCATGAATCTCTAGCCTAAGTACAAAAATATCATATACATGTTATATAAATCTTGTAAAAATAATTTGGTGGATGAATTCTCAAAAGACAGGTTGTTTCAAAAATGTTTTAACGTTAGACATAAATAATAAGCTAGTGGGTTACACAGAATAAAAAAATAATATTATTAACCAGTAATAGACACAAATTAATTAATTAATCAATGTTTCTGTTCTACAAATGATTAAAATCCATGATTACGTTTTTGGTACATTTTTGTTATTTGTGGTTGTCATTTTTGTTCCCAGAACTGGTTTGAACCCTGGAAAGAACAAGAAAAGGACAAAAGATAAATGAAGAAGGATGGAACAAAAGAGAGAAGTGAATAAGAAGGATAAAAAATAAGGGAAAAGAGTACTGGGTAAATGGGAGGCCAGGAAGAATGGAATAAGAGAGGGAAGAAAAGAGAAGGAGTAAGTCTACAGAGTAGTCTGTTTTTCTTGCCTATAAACAACCTACATTCTATACGTTATCTAGTAAACTGCAAAGTGAGCACACACTACGATGGACCATCACCCTGCAACACATTCAGCCATGCCAAGAACACCTCAACCCACATAAAGAAACAGCATTCCACACTTTACAGCACAACCACACCAACAATATACTACGCTCACCCACACTGCAGAGACACTTATACACTTACAACACACAGAATCAGTGGGTATAACAACCTACTGGTGCATGTCTGTGATTTCGGCCAGGGCAGGGGTGAGGGCGTACCTCATCAGTCTCCGCCGAACGGCGTGTGGACCACACAAATTCCATGATGGCCACAAACACTGCGATTATCAGACCACAAATCAGGACCACAAAGATCCCACCGATATTCTCCATACCCAGACCTAAAGGACAAAGAGAAGTCTTTTATTGTATACAGACAGAAGACATACAGAAAAATGAGTGGAACCATATGTGCAGATGCTTCCAGACAGGTGTACCGCATGATATAGTCATTAACATCCTACTATGCTCTGGGGTTGTATAAAATTGCTAAGCATGCTCAGCTGACTTTGATTTGGATCAAGACTGCAGGAGGAAAATATTTGGATGATTTGGAAGAGGGTTTGGCAAGCAGGAGCTCCAGGCTGGCTAGTGTTTCAATAGGAGCAGTGACCACAATGACATCTAAAAGGACAACTGTTTTGTAATAGACACCCCCCAACTTGTCTTCATGTTCATATAATTTACATGAAGTACACCTTAATCCAGGCAGATGTTTTGACAGTGAACCGATAAAATAAAAGTATTCAGTAGGCTCATGAGCTAGTGGTTGTCTTCATAGCTTTAGTTTGAAAACATTAAAGAATAAGCTTTCCTTTTCAGATGGTAAAGTGATGTATTTATGTAATCATTTTCATAAAATGCTGGCTGCTTGAGCTCAAAAGTATTGCAGTATATGAGCTTCTACTGTACTAGGTAAGCTATGTTTTATATTTCAGGGAAATAATTATTTGCTATATCAGTAGAATAAAGCAAATACATGTTGTAGCATTTGTTTACATTAGGGTGCACATAAAAAGTACATCTACTTTAGTACTAGATTGCACAGTTATTAGTATTATCATTGTTATTTTCTGTTTTTATTATTATTGCTGACATTATTAATGACTAACCACAAAAGCAGGCATTTTTCATGCTGTTAAAATATTATTCCTGCATTTACATGCACTTCTGTCAGATGTGAGTTTGTACAGATATGGCAAAGATGAAGCTGAAAACAGTCAGTCAAATTTTATGACCAGATTTGACCCATAGGCAACCCCAGTAAGGGTTACTGTGCACATTTACTGTCCACTTCATTAGACACAGCTACATTGTTGGTATACCTTACAGGTGTAACGTTACAGACTAGAACTAATCTTTTTCCATGCACAATTTGTGTGTCAGTCATCCTCTAGCCTTTCATCAGGGGTCAGTTTCTGACCACAGGACCACTGCTGGCTAGATATTTTTGGTTTGTGGAGTATTCTCAACCCAGCAGGGACTGTGAAGTGTTTAAAAAACCCCAACAACACTGTTGTACCTGATATACCCATATTAGCATAACATACTCTTCCATATCAATATGACTGCAGCACTGAGAATGGTCCACAATTCAAATAATATCAGGTCAGTGGTGGTCCCTTTCCATTGAAGAATGGGGTAGAGGGTGGCTAATAAATTATGCTTTAGAAGATGGGCTACAGTGAGTAACTGTAAACGTACAAAGCGAACCTGTACAGGAGGTGCACCTGATAAAAAGGCCAATGACTGAGTATTTCATGTATTTCCTGTTATTTTGTACACTCCCCTCTCAATATCACTAAAATTAGATATCTATATCTAACATTAGTACAAGTATACACAGTATATCACCCAGCTCTACTTTAACCTAACAAAGCAAAGAAACTGTGTTTTGACCTCTCAGTTTCCACAAAATGAAGTATGTAAGTGTTTTTCAAGGTCAGGACCATCCTGTTTGTTAGCTTTCCTCTGGGGTTCCAATAAAGCCAGGACATTTTGTACTAAACTGAACAAAAAGAAACACACACACACACACACACATACATCACTTCTTCACAGCACTCATATTCTCTACAGCAGAACTAAAATTATTTGTGTATTAATGTAAATGATTTATATTTAGCATAAGTGAATCAGAATTCAAGTTCTGGTCTAGACTCATTCACCTTTAGATATGCAGATCTTTCAAAAGCCTGCTCATTCACACAGTAAATTTGACTCATTTTGAGTAATAAATGTGAGCAAATTGCACTGCACTGTTCAGCCTTGACATGCATGCAGTGCACATCCACGCACACACACACACACACACCTTCACACCAACAGCTATTCTGTCAAAAGCTTGTATTAGGCCACAGAAAATGCAATAACACCACCAACATAAACATTTTCTTGTCTGAATCCTCTGAGACTGAGCCTGCCATTCATACTACTACGTATTTCTGATCTGACACACACACACACACATACACACAGAGCTCAGGGTACAGATGCTATTTTCTCATCCGTCCCTTGAGTGTGTCACACTCAAATAGACAAGAACCAGAAAATAACAGCAGGCCAGAGCAACAGATTCACACACACACACACACACATACAAATACACACATAGTTTTTTTGTTGTGTTGTAATGTTTCTATTATGGAATTCACATAACCCATATTACATTTTGTAATAAAAAGTCCCTTTAAACAGCAACCTAATCATTACCTAATAGTTTGTTAATGATAAAATGTAAGGTTGTCATATTGTTACTTGTGCTACCATTTGAATTATTAAAAGTTCACATATAAAATAGTGACATACAAATAATTAAAACTCTTTAAATGCTTTTTTTGCATAATTTGAAAATGTATAGATTGTGTTCAAATTTCATGATGAACAAATCAACAGAAAATCTTTTTACATTCACTTCACTGTTTTTCCTTTTCTTGTAAAGTTATAAAAAGGAGATATGAGGTTTTGTTCTGACAGTGAAGGCATGCAGTATAAAGTTGCAGCTTTATAATATGGGCCCAATTAATGATTAATGATAAAGTATATTTTAACACTTAATAAGGATTAACCAGTCATGAAGGATATTTTTTTTACGTATCAAGTACAAGTAGCAAGACAGCAATAAGTATCAAATAATTAATCTATTATCAACAAACTGCGATTAATGATCAAGTTTTGTGGTCAAGTAAATACTGATTATTCATATGTCACTAAGAAAATAGTTAAATAATTCTAATTCCACCATTTATCACTGCACTGTCATTAACATATGCTAACGATTTAAGACAGTGTATACTTGAGCTCATTACCTTTAATTATTTTCAGCATCAGAAAAAAGAAGGAAACACATATTTAAGTATATTATCAAATCTATCAGTATTTAATTTGTCTACTTGAACCCTTCCATCCTTCCAATCTTAAAACCAGTGAGTTACAGCTGTGTTCTCCCAAAAAAAGCTTTGGTTCCAAAGTGCTCCCTGATATTCTGTTCCCCTTGAAAGACACACTAACATTCACACAAGCAGCTAACTAAACACATCTTAGCTGCCCTGCAGATTTCCTTTTCATGAGCTTCTAAAATGGCTTTAAGTTAAAAAACCAGTTTCCAAAACTGGAATTTAAAAATTAATTAAAAGGTATAGAGAACATCTATTCACCTGTTTATTTTGGTTAATACTGTTTGTAGTCAACTTTTACTATTTTATCATTTTCCCCTTTTCCCCTGTTATCATTATTATTAGGAGTATTAGTATTTGTATTATTATTTGTATATGTATATACGTGTTTTTTCTTTTCTTAATGTTTAAGTATGGTGTATTCTTCATTTCTTTATGCCATATTTGAAATAAGCCAGATAAAAATATCCTTAAAAAAGAGTATAGAGGAAAATGAACTCTTAACAACTGTGCAAGACCTGGTAAACCACCACAACTGTCCCCATCAGATAAACAGTACTTACAGCTTTCATCTTTGAGAGAAAATCAAGCTCCACTCTTCAGATCTGAAAAAATTCACAGCTCTTTCTGTCCATTCTTTCACCATAAGAAAAAAAAATCATATTTTATTTAGCTTTGGAGGCTTCTGTATAATTTTCTGTTAAATATATGTTTTCTAATTTTTTTCTGATGAATACATGTACTTATCGGCTGTTCTGACTGGAATGGGCTCGGACTTATACAGAGTGCTGCATTATGTAGGTTCAGTTTTGCTTTAACATCTTTGAATTCTTCTGTTAACATAAACCTTCATTGCCTCAGGCTTGAGATATTTTTGCCAACTAAACATTCCCCACGAGAAAAGAGTGATTTTATAAATATCCTTATTTCTGCCCTTGAGGATAAACACTGATATCTAAGGTGGGTAAACAAAACACGTACCCTAGCCTGAAGCTATGCTTTTCAAGAAGCCTATGAAAGACACGCAATTACTCAATGACCCTCTTTTTCAAACACTCACAAATCACGTTACATCACTTTTAAGTCACAGTGAAATGCTGAGCTTTTGTAAATTGCTCATGTTTCTGTAGTTCTAGTAGGTTAAGGTGCTCCAAAATGAAGTGTAAAGGCAGCCTATTATTCCAAATTCACATTAAGTTTCTTGATCCCCAGCCTTTTTACAGCCCTTAACTCTATTGTTTGACCCCTCTCTGCTCAAAATAGATCTGCACCACAGGTACACAGACACCTCTTATAATTATTGATTTCAGCTTATACAAGGTACAACGATTGCTGGCACATGTCTCCATATAAAATCTCCATAGAAAAGCATTACTAATAGAACAGGATGCTCTGAAGCTGCTGCACGAGCCTAAGGTCACCTGCCTAAAGTGCACTTGCACTAATGCTCTGGCTGTATACAATCAGTTCCTCATAGTAATGTTTCAACATCTTGTGTAAAGCCTTCTTAGAAGAGTAGAGGCTGTTACTACACGAAGGAGGACAAACTCTCTATTAATACCCTTGATTTCAGAAGAAATGCGGGATCAGCAGCTGTCCACAGACTTATAATTACAGACATATAGTTTATGTACATATTAACATATTCACCTCTTTTTTAAACGTCTTTTATTTTCTTATATTTCTCCCTAAGTTAATATGTCATACTTCCTCTTGAATATTTAGCTGTTTACACACTTGTCTGTTTTGTATTTGTGCACTCACAAAGAAAAATGCATCATATGTTTAATATACTTGCTAAAATAAAACAGATTCTTATTCTAATCTGGACTAGGTGCAATTTCACTGTGCAGTTTCAAGTCGAATGTATTATGCTCACCACATGTGAACAAAAAAACAAAGCAGTATATTTATTCTGGGTTGTGAGTGATTATTTTGATTTTCTAGAAGAATACGACAGACTTTCATTTGAGACACATTCCTGTTTCTTCATATTGCACTGCATTAGCACTATTTATCCAACTGATATAGTGATCTGGTACTTTAACCCATTAATTTAAACTCACTTCTCCTGTTTTGTCTCCATTCATCATAACTTCCACTGTCTATACAAGGTTTAGAAAGGGTGTGTAAGAAATGGCTGTCTAAATAATTGAAATGTCTTGTGTTTGCAGCCCCGTGACCCAAAAGGATAAGCGATTTAGAAAATGTGTGTGTGTGTGTGTATGTGTGTGTTTGCAGTACTGCTTAAGCTTCTCTGAGCGTAAATACTGTGTATCTATACATAAACTTTGAAGTAAACAAACGGTAAGCTGCTTAACTGATTATTTCACCCGATAGCTCCCTATAGAGTGAGACAATCAGGTAAACAAGAGACAAAGCTTTTGTTTGTATTGCTGGACATAAGCCAGCTAATTCATGGCTAACTGTACCTAATCCTGTTGAGATTATGTGAAAAATTCAAACTCTGCAAAAGCATTGGAATTATTAAGATTAAAATCTAGAAACTGGATGTAGGCCATGGCCATAACCTCTCTCTTTCTCATAACCACCCTTTCTCCACCCTAATACAGAAACCTCATTTATTGTTGTAATCAACAACACACCTACATAAGGACCTGAGTGTAAGCTGTTTTTCACTATAAGCAAAATGAAATGCATGGTAAACAGAAGTGCTCCAATGCCAATATGTTACTAAATTCAACTGAATTATTTTGTCATTAAGTCATTAAGGAGTTAGAATATGAATATCACTAGATGCAAGCTAACGCTTATTACTGAACTGACTGGCAACGTCACCAAAATACCCCACATAAACCGAGAAACTGACAAATGTGGTGGTTAAGTTGCTTCAGCAATAGCCGGCCACAGTTTGAACAGCTGGTGTTATATAATAGTGTTAAAGTTAACAGTAGTAAACTTAGGTTAATGTAAATTAAATGCACAGGAATGTTATCCTGCTGCAAGCATGGATGCAGTAACAGTCGTAATTTTGATTCTTAATGACTTTGTAATTTAAAGGACCAAGTGACATTCAGGGAAAAAACTATACACAGGCCATTTTCCCCAAAAAACATGTCACAACAGCAGTGATGTTCAAAAACGCCATTCATTTTTCCCATCAAGACTTAGAACAGGAATTTCTAATATGGCATGTTGTTGACTACAAAATAATGCATGACTTCAGCGGGCTATAACTGATGCAAATTATAATTAAGAACAGAATATGAAAATATAAATGAGTCAATCTTGCCCATATCTGCTGTTCTCATTCTTAACTTTTCCATTCCAAACTTTTTATACATATATATACAGATACAGATGCTATTCAAATGTGCTTTCTGGAGTTTGTAACAGACAGTGAAGCAGCAAATGCAGCAGCGCCTGCATTCACTCCCACAGCAAGAGGAAAGGTAAAAATACACTGAGGTTGAACAACGCATCGGGCAAAAAGCACAATGCTCTCATCATATAATTTCACTCACTCTAGCCAAACAAACATGACTCATGCATGTAGCTCGAACCCTGCCTGAAATATCATATTTCTTTGGTGAGAGTGAGACTTCTGTGCATGGGAGCAGACATGGTATGGGGACCCACACTGCCTCTGTAGTAGTCTGAACGCATTCAGAATATGTGTTCCTATAACCGAGCCTCAGTGGGTGGACAACTATGCAGACAAGCTTCCAGGAAAGGAGTAAATTATTTGTAAAAATATATAATAAAGAAGTTATATACAATTTCTGACCATTATTGTTTCCATTTATGCTTGTTAAAAGTACAGACAGATGCAGCTTTCTATTTTTACAGCTCTGCTTAGGCTAAACAGGCCATTTCCATCAAATCATGCAGCACATTTTAAAGAGCCAATCAGAATACATCTGATACATTCAACACAATCCAACTACTGCTTGCTACTGCATGGAATATATTTTTGATTAAAGAACAAAATGAAATAAACATGTTAACATTCATATACCCTCATTGCTGTTGCTTTTTACAAAATAGAAACAGTTTATACTGCATGACTGCTCAGATGCTTACTGTGATATTTTTACAGAGATTACATTTACAGTTCTATGTGTTTGTTTATTATAGGCTTTATCCTAATTTTGTAGCCTGTATTTAGGCTTTCTTGCTTGCATCCATAAACTGAAAAGGCAAGCTCTGCTTTGGATGTGTTATGTTCAACACTGTCAGAGACTCACTCTATGTATTTGTTTTATATAAAAATTGTGTAAATTTATTTTTATAATTTTTTTAATGTAAGGCGTTTGAGCCCCTTTTCTGAGCTCCATTTTTCTTACAAACACCACTGGCTATTACATGTCAAACTGTCTAAAGCTTTATTTTTTATAACGTTCTAATATTTATTTAATTTATTTATTTAAGTGTGAGTAAGGGTCACATTCTTGAAAATTTTCACACTACAAACATCAAATTTACGGCAAATGAATATCAGTCCCAAATATCAATTATTGACGTCACTGGTTACTAATCATCGGTATCGACCCTGAAAACCCCCTAGTTAAGACTAGCACTGTTGTAGTGATGTAACACTTTCATATTGAATTGTAATGAAACTGTGCTATGACAAAATGATAGCACTGGTAATTTTATAATTATTACTATGTAAAAGTAGAACATGTAGAACTGACACTTCAATCAATTCAAATCATTTAAAATCAAATGAAGTAAAACTGTTCGGTTGTTTGCATTTTGATTGAACTTTGCTGACTATTGACACTTGCATGCAACATATTTCTTAAAAAATTTTGAACATAGTGAATAATGTTACACAAGAACTATGCACTAGATTCTAAAACCAATATGAAGACCATCACAATGAAAATGTTTCTGACATCACTGGCCTTCAACATGTGGGAAGTATCTTTGATGTGTTCAAGTCAGATTGCCATGGTAATATGGGCTTTATCCCTTGTGCCCATTCTAACTGCATGCATCTAATGAAGGTGTGAAAAGTATGATTCACCTTTAGCGCGATGGTCCTCCTCTTTGGGGCACTCCCCACCCTCCCACCACCTGCGCTTCAGGATCTCCAGCCTGTTGTTCTCCTGTAGCTGCAGCACTCCCAGAGTTATCTCATCTCTGAATGGAGAGCCTGAGATACAGAGGGGAAATAACCAGGAATTACATTCAGCCTTTCGAAAGACCCTTGCATGTTAATCTGACATCAAACATGGCTAGAATACAAACTAAGCATCTTAACTGCTTATTTGAAAACATGCTGTGACTCCATCAAAAGGTTATTACATAATTGCTTTTAAAGAGTATGTAAAGCTGTGACAAGCATTGATTTCAATTTAAGAAGCAAACACTGGCTAAATCATTTATGTATCAGCCAATCAGAACATCTGCACAATCACTAGTGTATATGTAAGTATACACAGGTATATGGCGTATACCTACCTCTGACGAGATTAAAAAGCAAGATCGCTCAGCTGAATAACCAGCATGTTACATTTTGCATTTTTGTCTGCTGCTAGAACTCAATAATATAATAGTGTATCTGGGAGGCTTATTTCACATGATATTATCAAAAATGTTGCTTTTTTCATTTTCAAAAAAACCCCTTCATTTTCAAATTTTTGAAAATCTCTACGCACAAAGGCAAAAATGACTCAAAAAAAGGTCAAATGAGCATGACTGCAGAGTAAAAAACAATATGCCTCAAAAAGAACAATTGTGAGCATACAGCAAAATACAAAGCGTGAAGCTGGAGTTGACATTTTCTAAGAAAGTGACAAGGGTGTTGTAGTAGGTCTTGACTTGCAGCCTGGCAGATCTCGATAATTTCACACAGATTCGAAGTCTGATTTTTGCAGGAAATAAAGGCTAAAAAGCAAAGGAAAGCCTCAGCTTGCGTGGGTTTGTTTACATTGTTTAACTTGATTAATGATCATCAAGTCACAGATGACATAAACCTTGAAGTATTTTAAACATTGCTGTCTAGGTGACATCCCATTTAAAAGAACTTATGGAAAAGTAAAGCCAAGTCAGTTCTATTATAAAGATGTTATCAACACCCACAAAAAAACAACTCAGTTTTCAGTCATATTTTAGACAGAATTCTGAAAGTACAAGTATAATGATGTGATGTCAGCATTTTCAAAAAAGTGTATTCTGTTCATCCACATAAAAACGGTAAAACAATTTTTCAAAAATCTCAACCTTGGAGAGCTTTTCCAAAAACCTCCATTTTCAGTGACTGAAAACCGTCAGTTTTTGTGAACGGGAGGCCAAAAATATTTAAATATGAGCGGACGGGACCTGATTCTTTTCTTCTTTTGAATAAATAAATAGCTGTTTGCATCTGATACATGAATATATTTATTTACAAGTTTAAAATTTTACATAATTATACACTACTGTTCAAAAGTTTGGAATCATTTTTCATATGAATAATTAAGGTTATTTTATTCAATACTAGCATGTAATGCAGTGTAGAGTGAAATACTATAAGGTAGATACCAGAAGCTGTACTCAAAATAAATAAATAAAAGCAGCACTATGTAGGATTGTCTTTGTTAAAACAAGAAGCATTACTGATTCAGGAGAAAAAAATAAAATATGGTATGTATGCGCTGCTGCGAGTGTCCCTGTAAAGCCTCAATTAATAAATTAAAAGTCAGAGGCATCAGGTCAGATTTGGCAGTGATTTTTTTGGCCCATGTCATTTATGTTTACATTTTAACATCACATGCAGTAATTAAAAAGGAGGTCAGACTTACTGTTTAGGTCTCAAATGCCAAATCAACATCAATACTGATGAAGATATGATGACAATAGTGAATTATTCACTTCCTTCACACCTCCTTCAGCAAATTTTGAAGGGGTTCTCTTTCAAAACTTTTTCAAAGTGCTCAAAATCATCAGATTCATCTGCTTGTGGGGATCCAAAACACAACAGACGCAACAAAATGTTTTTTTGCACATTGCATGTAATTAAACATTTGTACCAGGGAGTCTCCAAATTCATAAAGCTTACATAGTAGAGTTTTAATATAATTATCCATATATATTAAAAAGCCCTGCGATGGACTGGCAACCTGTCCAGGGTGTATCCTGCCTTCCACCCAATGACAGCTGGGATAGGCTCCAGCACCCCACCGCGACCCAGAAGGATAAGCGGCTTAGATGATGTATGTATATATATTAAAAATATATGGCAATTATCTATTTACTGTAATACCTAGATGCCCTGCGATGGACTAGCAACCTGTCCAGGGTGTATCCTGCCTTCCGCCCAATGACTGCTGGGATAGGCTTCAGCTTCCCCCACGACCCAGAAGGATAAGCGGCTTAGAGAGTGTGTGTGTGTGTGTGTGTGTGTGTGTGTAATTCCTAGATGAGTTATCTACCTCAAGATTTGATCACTGCTCCTCACAAGGCATTGTGGGCATCAATTTGAATATAACTTTATTCCCTATGTTCTAATTTTTAAAACACTGCTCGTTTCTCTTCTTTTCTTGCTAATAATAATTTGCTCCTCTGTCATCTGACGGCCAAATAATTGACTGTTGGCCCTCTGAATGGTTAGTGCTGGAAAGCTGCCAACTGAATACTGAATAATTTCACCTGTTTAAGTTCAGGAACATTCAGACGGAGCAGAAGTGAGAGCATTTTTTAGTGCGATTAATAATCAGGCTTTATTTCCAAGAATAAACAGTATATATGGCCTGTGGTGTTTAATTAGGTAACATTGTTTTTCAGTTACCAGGCACAATCATCCTTATTTAAGCAACTCAAAGACAAGGCGTTCTAGAATATCCTATCCTACGGGCGCTGTGGCGTCAACACCATCTGGGCTCCAGGTTGCCATGGAAGCGGCTGGGGGTGTCCATGGCGACCATCCTCTTGATGAATGAGTGGGTGAGAGGATATTATCGCCAGGCACCCGAGCTTTGGGTGGCAACCGGGGGATGTCAGCTAGAAGGAGGGGGGAAATGGGGATGAGGGGGAGGGGGGAAATTGAGTGTTTGCACTCCTGCAGGGAAAAACACGATGTGGTGTGAGGATAGCCTTTGAAGATGGTGGTAACTCCTGACTTCTTGGTCTCTCATTTCGAGAACAGTAATAGGATGATGTGAGTAAGAGTGCACAGGGATGTTTTAGGGCAGTGCGCAAAAGGGCAGTGGGGGTTGGCTGAGATTTGTGATAATGTGACCGGAGTTGGAGTTGCTCTGGCAAACAGTAAGAAGATCAAAAGCATGTAGTATTTCATCATGTTTCTCTGCCACTGTGCATAGTTTAGAGATTAACTGCATTACTTTAAAGATAACAATTGAGCTGAAACATACTTTGTCTGCCAGTAATGGAGTAGTCAGCCCTTCTTGTAAAATGGGCTTGAGATTTTATTTTTTATGAACACATATTATAATGAATTACTGTAAACAAAATACACTGTTTGCAATATTTGTTAGTTTGCTATCCCATTATATCTACATCTTTATATAAGAATAAATGGAAATGTACATTATCTAAATTTGTCTTACCAACAAAATTGCCAGTTATGTAATGATAACCAGGAGGGGATGTTATGCATTTTAACTGTCAGCAAGCTCCTTTTAGATGAAAGCTAGTTGTAGCACAAGAAATACTCAGATTAGCAGTAGTACTTGGGCACGCTTGCTCATGGTAATAATAACACAATAACTGTGGGGAAAAAAATACTGTGTGTTTAAGAAAAGTGATTTATGTAACTTCGGGTTACTGTAAAACTGTTTATTGTATTTATGCATATGACATTATACAAATAAGAAAACAAAGAGCAAATCCATTTAAATATACTGTGCAAAAATAAGAAGTCAACTGCATATTATTTTAATATAAATGGTTTGTAAATTGTCTGTCAGGAAGGCAGAAAGCACTGGAGCTACCAATATTTTTGAACTATGCATCATTCAAAGAGGTTTTAGAGATGCAAAGTACTTCTCAGAACAAAAGGAACTCCTGTTTCTCTGTTTTAAATTGATCTAGCTGTAACCTTTGATCTGTGATTTCTCTCATTATACTTAAGTCAGGGTCTACTGGTGATAAACCTCTTCTTCATTTACATCCATGCGTCCTTGGTGAATGTACAATCTACAATCAGTATTCAAATACTGAAATAAAGAGGAGAATCATGATTATAAGAGCTAGGTCTTCAGTTTCTATGGGGTTTCTAATTAAGTGATGATAATATCACTAAAAAAAGGTAGTGAAACTTAATGGTAGTAAAGATGAGTATTTTTTAGCTATATTAGACTGAACAAAGACATTAGTTCTTGTAAAAGACGTTCCATATTTATTGGATACTTGTAACCAACATTAACATATTTTTTACTGTGTAGTAGTTGCACAGGGACTCTTTCAGTAAAGAGACCTAACAGTGAGCAGCAGCCAGGCCTTTTCTGAAGGGCTGGAAGGCCTTGAGGGTTCCCAAGTGGCGAAACAACTACTTGGGTATTCGTATTCAGGTTTTGCATATCTGTGTTTTTTACATATTCAAGTTTAAGCAAGAATACTGTATTATACTTTGCTACAATGAAACACGAGTACCTTAGCATTGGCCTGTTGCCAAGATGTGGCAAGTGACTGAGAAGGCAGCTGTGACTAGGCTGACTACTCTAGCTAGTATTCGCTGAAATTAAAACAATAAAAAGCTATTTCTCTGTAGTAGTGTTCTAGTGTCATTAGCTTATCTGAAGGGTCAGTCTCAAGCACAGTGACCATAAGATTTCTCTTGGCTATTTGTGAATATTAAGACACTGCTAATTTTTATTGATCTTTATGCAACTAAAATTGTCAGAATGTTAGCACTAGAGCACCAGTTTACAAGGTTTGTGTGTTTTAATGTTATTATCAGGCAAAAAGCAGGTTTTTTGTGGTTATTTGAATATCTGTTCATGAACTCCAGATACTAGAATATCAAAGTGAGTCAGAATGCCCTACTACCATCATCCAGCACCTCCTCACTTTCACTGACTTTCCATTCACCAAGGGCAAACACCTTCAGCAATCTTACACATCACCTTCAACTGGAACTCCTCCACTGCCAATCATACAGTGTCACCACTACATACGCTGGCTTGCCCACTTTGTTCTTATACTCACTGGTCATTTCTGCAAGTATAATTTGTCAGGGTGCATAGTAACATATTGCATCAGTAGCTGCATTTCTAAAAAGTGCACCAATATTGTACCTGAGGGTAGGTGTACTATATAAACTAGCAACTCAGTGTATTATTTTTTTACGTCTTTTCCTTCCCTTTATGCTCAACCCTTTCTCTGCTTTGCTTTCTGCTAAAGCTCTTAGATCAGAATCTTAGATTTTCTGTGCCCTTCCACAGTGCTCTCCTCCTTAAAACCAGTAACCAGTTTTTCACCCACTGCTGCCGCTACCCTTAGCTTGACTCTATCAGCACCTCTCGACTCACTCTCACCTCCAGTTTTAAAACTGTCTTGACCTTTATCTGTAACTCCCTGGCCATCTAGAACATCATTTGACTTGTATGCTCTCCAATCTAACAGAACACAGAGCTGACAGGAAGTGGAGAAGTTCCAAGTTTCCAAAAGACCTTGCAATGCATCAAACACTGCAAACCTCCTTCTCCTCTTTCCTCATTACTGCAGAAAAAACATTTATTTACAGTTTGGCACAAATGTTTCTAAACCACATATATTATTCTTCACGTTTTCTTCTATCCTTATTTTCATTTCTCCTATTCCCACATCCTCTCACACTACAGACTAACTCCATGCCACATTTTGAACAGAAGGTCATCAACATGTGCAAGCCCTTCAGTCATTCTGTCAAGAATAATACACCCCATCTACACTTCTCAAGGAGATATCCAATCATCTCATACCATTTGAGATATTTGATCAATATTTCACTGACAAGTAGTCAAGTTGCAACCATCTTCAAATCGGCTTGAGTTTCTCTTTTACTGAGGAAGCCTACCTTCAGGCCCAACAAAGTTGGAAAATATCGACCTGTCTTTTTGCTTTCTGCTCTCATTTCTGTCTAAAACCCCAGACCAGGATCTTGATATGATTCCATCTCCGAAAGAACAGTCCCTTGGATACCCAGCACTACAATTACAAGGCCCTTGCTAGATCTATACTATGCCTTCTATGGTTCAGAAGTGGCAACGCAGATCCTCAACTTAGGTTTTTTTCCTTAAAGCAATTAATAGTGCCCTGATGCCAGATATAGTTGATCAGCTTTAGTTTTGCACTGGAGCATTATTAACAAGTGATGGAATCTTACACTTTTACCAATTGCACTGGGCAAACTGCATGCTTAAATCTAGTCTTGCAAGGTCAGAAATAACAAGAATGCAACTCGCTAAATTTGTGGACAACTTGTCTTTTTTTTGTGCTGGATTGTGGCAAAATCTTTTGCTAACAAGAGTACACCCCTCTAAAACTCGTCTCCAAAATCCTCCAGTCTGAGCTCATTTAACATCTACATGCTTATTTGGGGCTTTTTCGAGGAGACTTTTTTTATGCGTGTCAGTGTTCCATGACCTAACAACAAGCTTGCTGTCCATCGGACAATGTTGATGAGTGCACCATTGCTCCCTACTTTGAGCTCAGCCTTCAGAAGCTTAGTTTAAAAATTTTATCTCTGTCCTCATAAGTCTACATTCTCACTCACACCAAAATCTCACATGGTTGTCCCCGGATGTTATGTGCAAGAATTGTTTAAATAACCAGGTTGGTGCTTCAAACCACATCAAACTGTTAGGGTAAATATTGTTAAAATGGAACGAAGAGTTAAGTGGACTACTCAAGCCTGATCCTCCATATCTTCTACATTTATGGGACAGCCACTTGAGAGGCTTAAGTGTGAATACTGTCATGCTGTGTTCATTATTTATTTACATATCAACAATAATGATTACAGTTATCAATAGTGAGTGCTGGACAATATAAGGAGGCTTGTGTTTGATTTTTCTGAAACAACCTGCTTGGCTTTTCACAAACCATCAAGCAATTTCTTCCACAGGCACCCAGACATCAGCCATAAAGAATTTTCATGTATATAATTAGCAAAATTAGTCATTGAAATATTGTTGCTGTCCAAAGGAAACATGTATCTCCAAAATAGCAACTTTACAGGAGAAGGCAAAAACATTCCTTAGTTTCAATGTAAGTTAATGTGATGTTTGTTCCAAGCCATTTTAGAGCTTTTCTATTGATCCATTCATCATGAAATTTTTTAGACAATTTAAACAGCAGTTCAAATGATGTAGAAAAAAAAGAATTAGTTACTTTTTTGATTGTGTCTGGACAGCAATGATATGCTCATTAATGCCAACAGTATCAAACAAACATTTTAGGGTTTTAGGGTCAGCAAAGGTTCTAAGAAGGGAAACCCTGTCTGTGTTTGATTTTTGCCTTTGAACAGTGTAAGAGAGATTTTAAGCTTTCAATAAAGGTACCATATTAGGTTATATGACATGGGGATCAGGGTAAATAGTTATGAAAAAAGTGATATTTCTCTTCCACTTTAGCAATATTCACCCCAGAAATTCAAAACAGACTTGCTAAGGTGGTTTAAGACAAACTTCTGTCAATAAAACTGACAAAAGTACATTGTAATATAGTTTACAATACATAAATTCCTTGTCTACATTTGGAATGCTTCAGCACTTCCTTATCTATTTGCTTTAAAGAACCTTCTTTCACTTACTAAATGTACTGAGGCTTATACTACGATAAGACCCTTGCATTTTATGTTAATCCTTTTTCAAAAATTCTTTATCACTTCACCTTATTATTTCCTATTATTTTCATGTTTGGAAGTCTGCCAATATAAATGTAAACTTCATTCATCTTCCATCTCTCTGCCTCCTCTTGCTCTTGCTCTATTGCAGTCAGTCAGTGGTGTGTCTGTAATAAAGCCCACCGTGCCAAACACATATGTTTAAGTTCTTTTTTTCCCCTTTCCACAAATAACATCTCTCTTTGTGCTCCTTCCAATCCCTGTGTCAGAGCAGTCGTCAATAGCTACAACTGAATGCTGAAAACAACAACAAAGCTGCAGACCAATGCAATACACTACAGACAAACAAACACTGTTAACCTTGAACATCTATCACAAACCAGCAAGCAAGGTCGAAACCATTGAGGCAAATAATTAACCATCTAGCGGTATAACAGCAGCACTGACTTAGAAAGAAAGCGTTTTTTTTCTGAATCAGTTCTTCTTTTTGAATCAGTTCAGTTCAAGAACATTCATTAGTGGGACTATTTTGTAAGGGAAAAGTAGTTCAAAGAGATAAATAAACAAAACTGACAGCATCATTGTAAGGTCTGTACAATATGGATAAAATTCCATATTGCAATTATTTTTAGATATAGTGATTACAATATACTTTCCAATGTATTAAAACATAGTGGTGAACCCTTCGGGTAACACGATTTAATGATCTGCTTTTATTACTTCGCATTTTTGAAGTTATTTATGTTTGTTTCATTTGAATCATCTGATGTTGGTCAGGAAACTCACAGCACACAGTACAACATTTCTGACTTGCTCATTTGCATACTGCAGCCTGTAAACAGGATGACATCCCAAATTATCCAAAAGGTTTCTTTGAAGCATTTACTAGCTAGTAAATGTATATCCTCACCTATCAACACTTGTTGCATGTCAGTCAAATGATACTTCCTGGTTAAAGCACTTAGTTATTGGCCATGTTAAGCAACAAAACCAACCAGACTCTCTAATGCCAGCCAGAACCCAAGCTTGTAAAACTACTACAAACTCTTTATTCTCTCTCCTGACTTACCCAACGGCATGCCGATGCCATAGCCCTTGGTGTCCAGCAGGCCTCCTATCTGTGTGAGGTTGCAGTTGTGGCGGCGGTGGTACTCGTTCATGGTGCTCTCTAGTAGAAAGGCGTATTTGGAGTTCAGCACACGGGCGATGCCCTCCTCTGTACTCTTCACAAACACGCTGGGCTGCTTGGAGTACATGTAGTTCCACATGCGCTGGTAGGTCTGGTAACGTGAGTTCTATGTGTGCATGGTTGTGTGAGACAGAGAATGTGTTTGTAAAAGCATGGATGGATAAATGGCAAAAAGAGGTGAACAGAAAAACAGAGGAGAAGGAGAAAGGGGAAAGAGAAAGAGAGAGAGAGAAAGGGAGAGAGAGATTTTTTAATTAGTGAAAAATGACTCAGCAAATTAGGAGGAAATTTGTGCTGGCCTAGATCTCCTATTCACTTTCCTCCTCAGAGTTTAACGCTGTGGGTTATATACGATTCACTACTGAACAGAGAGAGCATAATGGAAAGTGTCAAAACTCTACTTTAACTCCTTAACACACACATATGCTAGATGTGGCACTGACTTAAGACCCAGTATCAGTATCAGGTCAATTTCAACTGAAAACCTGGCTCAGATATCAGTGTGAAAAGAATAACTAATCCGACACAATTCTGTAACAAATCTATTCTGAAATATCACAAAATATTTCATACACAAAGTAAAGTGAAGTATACTGATTATGTTATAGCAATAGCCACACATAGCTACATAAGAATAACAAGTAGCTGGTAATGCTTTCTTTTACAGCCTGTTAAGTTCTAGGTATTAAAAGTACTATTGTGGATAATATGTAGGTAAGTCCCAAGGCAGTGTACATAAATTACAATGGAATGGCCAACACATTCTAAATATTGGGTAATTGGGCAAGTATGTGGTACAAACTCCACATTATTGTGCAATTAGTTACATAACATACAAAGACTGTACACGAAGTACAAACAGTTGTACACAGTATGTTCATGTTATATATATATATAACTACTAATATATATATATATATATTATAATTATATTATTATAAACAAACAAGAATCTGGGTTGTAATAAAAAGCAATGACTCTTTTTAATGATGAATTTTAACAAGTCTCCACCATTTACTAAAACTACCTTTGTATCATTTCACACCATATAACGTACTCAGTATTTGTGGTGTTTCCCATTTACTTTGCTGATTAAATGTGTGACTTTCCATTGAAATTTAGTACTATCTTTGTTATCACTACATTGTTTCTTCAAATAATTATAAGGTAATTTACTCCTTTATCAGTTTAATAACTACAACCTTTTAGTCATTTCCGTTAATTTAGTTAGACTGTCTTAGTACTTAAATTCATCTGAGACAAATTAATGTTACAGCACTTTGGAGACTGCACCCAATACACAGTTAATATCTAGAACCTAGTTTTCCATTTCGGTGTATTGTAGTTAAATTGCCTCAGGACATACCATCATGTTACCCAAAATAATTATCTAGTACAAGGATTCCCAACCTTTAGCAATTTGCAGTCCTCACAAATGAACGCAAAAGTTTTTACGGCCCACAAGAAGATTTAACACCCATTGTAAAAACGCTTTATACAAATAACTCTGAATTAAGCGTAACTTACTGAACTTCACTTGACTGTATAATAATGCAACATAATAAAAACAGACACAAACACACACACACAAATCCTCAAAAGTCACAGCCATTTATGCATGATGGATGATTTCCATACAATCAAAAAGAGATACATTTTACATTAAGTTGCAGTGAAAATATAATCATATCTCAAATCATAACTAATATGTCTGTTACATCTGTTACATGTATTTTGCTAGACAAATCACTGAGCTTGACAAATATTTAGGCATTTAAATTCTTTTTATTTTTGCAAATAATTATCACGACAATAACATTTGTCACATTTAAAATGACTGGTTTAGTTAAAAATATTATGATGAAATTTTGCAGTTAAAAAATAAAAAATGACCTAGATGCACCACCTTGGCCCACATAGTGAAAACCCCTGATCTAGTACTCTGAAGTTTGTATCTTACACTTAACCTGTAATTGCCTACGGCTTAAGGGACTTAAAAAGAAAGTGTTTCCAAATAGTTAAGCGTGCACTGCAAGCGATACAGCTAGCTCATTTTAAAGCTTAGTAAAGGTAAGGATTAGCACTGGTATCGATGGTTTTCTCAAGGTTTTAGGATCTGTACTGGAAAAGAAAAAGTGGTATGTGGAAAATGATTGATCAAACCAGCAGATACCAAGTGAGTGTCTGAGCTCACTCCGTGCACAGTCTACAACTTCTCACCTTGAAGGTATTTCAAGCATATGACTTTTCTCCTTCAGCTATCAGTAAAGACAGACAAAAGGCCACTGATCTCACTTTCTGCAAACATTATGGTGGCAGCATGTTTGACCGTGAAAACATGTGACACAATGAAGGTTAAGCATGTGCACAAAAGAGTTTTGGAGGTGGGTTCACACATAGAATCGTGGTAAAACAGAAAAGGCCTTGAGGTAACCTTAAAAATGACAGACAGTTTTCGTTCACACATTTGGAACTGGGAATTTCATAGAATTCTCATGGCATTCCTGTGACATACAATGTCATTTATACAATCATTGTATGGTTTATGAACATGTAAATCAACTTTCTGAGCTGCATACAATCATATACAAAAGTTTGGGCACCCACTGTTAAATGATGTTTTGTTGATTTTCTAAGTGAAAAAACACACCCTCTACAAAGAACACACTTCTGCACATTGTAATGCACAATTACTGTTTATTTGCTGAATGTAACATATTGGAACACAAAATGTGGCCTGTTATTAAGTTATGGACTATTTTACATTTTCTTTTATATGTTAAACTTAGCAAATACACAAAAATTGTGCTTTTTTTAAAAAAATGCCATATTTAAGTCTGTTCTCTGTAGCGGATGTGTACGTATTTTTCACAGAATTAACAAAAAGGATGTTGATTTCAGTAACCATGTCAAGTTTTTGTATCAAATGCACATTTAAATCATGCTTGTAACTTGAATATATAATGCCTGAGTTATTTCTGCCTCTAAGGTCTGACTAATCTCTTGATCATCATCGGATTCCACTGTCACATGATGAGGATGGATCCAAAGTTCTGGATTTCAGCATAAACTTTGTGCTGGAAAGCTATGCATGCTGATTTGTAAGACTTCCTCCACAATCTCCAGAGAAAGTGACTTGAGGCCAGTCCAGGCCTCTCAGTCACCAGCTTGAGAACGCCCACACCCACTGCTTCTTGAGCGTAACGTTCCCTTCCTGCTATCTGTAGTGTTGGCATTCCATGACAGCTATATTTATCTCACTAATATCTACTATTGCACAACTTACTTTCTACCTTTGTTACAATTTACCATTCCTCCTCTTTCGTACATTTTTGCATAATCTCTAATTAGTTTTATAATTATTATTGAAATGATATGATTGATTCTGGTAACATTTAATAATAACAGACCCTTATAATTAGCAAAATAATCATTATCTAATAGTTTTTTAATGGCAGTTAATATAATTATACAATTAATTATATGTTACTTGTGCATTAATAAGTGGTTAAATTATAATTATGATAAATAATGCCTATTGTTATAATAATTGTGAGATGCCTAATATGCTGAAACTCAAAGCTGCTGAAATCTCTACTTCCACCCTAAGGAAGCATTCAAGCAGTTGAACTCATACTGTGTCATTTGACTATTTTCTTCTTACTTTGCTGTTTCAGAAGAGGTGGTATGGTGGTTATTTTTTAAATGTAAACGCTGTTTCATATGTTTTGTTGCAAGTGCCTGTCAACTAGCTAATTTGGTTAGTGTTAGTTAACATCCAAGGAGCTAAAAGGCAGTAGTGCTGTTACTAAAAGTTACATTATTAACTGAGTAAACTATCTGTTATTTTTTCCTCAGTAACAAACTATGCACAGCCTTTTAGGGAATCTAAACCACTTTGTTGGAAATAGATAAACTAGATAGCCTTACATAAGCATCTAATCATGAAATGCATGTGGGTTAATGCAAACCTTTTTCATGCAATATCATGTTTTGCTTAGTTTGAACAGTTGATTTACAATTACAGCTAGGTAGCTAAGTTTGTCCATCCAACTTAATTACTGAATAATAACGTAGAGTGTAAGGGGTTAAAAATAGTGGATGAGGTTCAAAGGTGAAAAGGCTGACCATGAAGAAGGTCATTGTGCTGCCTCCGTGGATGGTACCATACTGAATGTTGGTCTGATCCGCCAGGTCATCTGCTGACTCGATGGGCACCTCCATTCTCTGAACCGTCAAAAATGCAGCCAGGTTGGCCGTGTATGAGGAGATGATGATTAGTGTGAATGCCCACCTGACAGAGGACACATAAAACAGAAACACGCACAGTGAGGTCATATAGTAAAAATCTGGTAAAATCTGTCAGATGTTTTATTGAACATCCCCCCCCCCACACACACACACTCTCTCAGGCCATTCAGCATATGGTTACAAGAGAGCGGTATGTGCTTGAGCATATGGGCTGACTGGAGGAACAGATCGGGAGTGGAAGAATGAAGAGGAGGGAGGAAAACGAGGGGGCTCATTTCTTATCTGAGAGAGAGAACAGAGAGAGAATGAGGGTTTAAATGATGATCTGATACAAAGTTAGAACATGTGCATAATTGCACTCCATATGCCAGAATGTTCCGGTTCAGCTTTGAACTGAGGCTGTTCAAAGTCAGTTAGTGAAACATGTATAGCAACTCTCACGTTCACCAGATCTTATGCTCAAGTCAACAAGTTACAATCTCCACTGATGTATAAACACACACACATTTAAAATGAGCCCAAAACAATAGTATAGAGAACTGGGTAGCACTTTACTTGAACCCTGCTAAATAACATTGTCATAATCATGTAATGGCAGTTACATGTTGTTATAACAGATTATGGCCAGTAACATAAGTGTCATGTTAACATTACTGGTAATTGTCAGGACAGATGCTAATCTCTGATGCTATGACTGCCGCCTTGAGTACACAGCAAAAATTAGCATGTGCCATACAGTGATATGCAAAAGTTTGGGTGTCCCTGGTCAAAAGATTTTTTTGTTTTGTTGATTTTCTGAGTGAAAATAAGCATACATTCTTGACAGCTAACAAACTTAAATGGCATTTTAAAAAATAAAAAGTGCCATAACTTTTCACATTTTATGTTTGATTTTTCCAGAATGTTAAAACCAGCAAAAAACAGTATTTATGTATCGAAATGGACAGAAGTGTGTTCTCTTTAGAGGATGTGTGCTTATTTTTACATGTAATTTGTCCAGTGTTTAAACTTTTGCTTACAACTGTAAACTGTGATGACATCAAATCATGGCATCTGTCATGATAATTACTGCTAAGGGTAACACTGCTATACTGCTGAACAAAATCTGTCATGACAGCTCATGATAGAACAACATTTTCTTGACATGTTTATTGCATGGTTATATCAGTGTTATGTAGCAGGATTAAAAAACAAAAAAAAACTCCTCAGTCCGGAGACTGGACACTTTTAAAACAAACTATTTTTTGTTATCAGACATGTTCCCTGCTCTGTACTAAACAACACAGTATGTGATTTTTTTTTTTTTACTAAGAAGCATATAATATTCAGTGTTCATGAATATTTGGACTGAGGTACATAAAATCTTAGAGTTTTTGAAAACAGAACATATTTCTAATCACCAACTTAAAATACAGATTAAGCACTGAACTTTTTCTGTGCTTATTGTATGTACAATTGCCTGACAAAGTTCATGAACTATTGGAACTACCTTGACTTCTGCATACATGGCTCGTAAAATATTAAATAATTTTCATAATTTTTTAATGTAATAATAAACCAAACGCTTTTTAACACAAAGCATGTACACTGATATTACTACATTTAAAATGAACAGATGGTTGAAACAATTGGGGTCACTGACAAAAAAAGGCAAAACACTACATAAACTACATTACATATTACACAGTATAAATATATGTAATATTATACGTTACACATATTACATACATTTTATAAGCTAACCTGGAGTCACTGACAGAGATAACGTTTCTGTGTTTCAGAAATAATTTTTTTTAATGTGTTTTTGATTTTTGTAAAATGCATTCAAAAAACCTTAGTAATCAATCTATATACATGACTATTCCTCTACAAATACAAATAGAAGGAAAACATATTTGCAGCAAGAACAAATTACTAGTGGCTGCTACTTTAAAAATGTTTTAACATAAGCTTCCTCCACATGAGAATCATAAGAAAAATCTACTTCTAGCAGAACACTTTTATAGTTTTTTATGCTTTTCATTTCAGTATGACATCTGGGCCTGTATTCACAAAACATCTCAGATTAGGAGTGCTGATCTAGAATCTGTTCCTGTGAATAAGACATGAATCTCATCCTAAATCAGCACTCCTACTTTAAGCAGCTTTGTGAATACAGGCCCAGGTCTGCTACCAGATATACAACTTTACACAGAGAGGAATAGTTATGTTTACTCACGTTTATGTTATCTTAAGCAAATTATTGATGGATTTGTACTTTCCTGAGTAATTTAAATCATAATACTTTTACTAAGTATATTAGTGAGTAAAAGAAGCTTAAATTTTCTTATTTACATTTTAGCCATTACTATTTAGTTACTAATTTATTTTTTTGGCTTTAATTTTATATTTTGTTGGTGACAACATTTGTAATGCTTTGTGATTGGTCACACATCTGACTTTGAAGTTTGAGCATGTTATTTTAAAACACAAGAATCTAAAAAAGAGAAGAAGAGTCATGCAAACTTCAGTTCGTGTGCTGATAAATGCTGGATTTATTAAGCAGTTCTACTGCAGTTCTGTGTTACTCAGAACTTATGATACTTTTACTTTTGCCATTATTTACCCAATTATCAATAGCTTTACTTGTTTATTGATTTTGGCTACTCAACCAACATCTGGCTGCACAGCATATATACCAAATATATAATTGCCACCTTAGCCTTTCCTGGAAACCCTAAATTTACTGGATTGGTACTTATGCTCACAATGCAGTCTAAGATAGACAGATGTCAGTTCAGCTACAGAACCTGATCTTCTTAGTTATTCCCTTTCAGTGCTGCCGGGTAGCACCAATAGTGTACCTTTCCCACACAACTGCCCCTATGCTCAGGGTAACCTGAAACAATCAAACACACTCTTTTCTATACAAAACCTTGATAAAAGAAGCCGTTAAAACTAATTTTAATGCTAGCATAAGAATTCCAGAACATTCTGTGTCCAGAAATGGAATTCTTTTTTTCCTGGTGTTAGATCACAGTTACTCAGGAACTTTTTGTGGATTGAGGAAAATGGTAAAGAAAAAAGCATAGGTTTTATACATTTATAAGACATTGTGGTTAGGTGTGTACCCATACTATGTAGATCAGGGAGTTCTACCTGAAGATCTCCCACGCTGGAGAGCTGAGATCCAAGAAACCTGTCTCTAATATTCAGATGCCGCTAAAGACCTTTACTACCCATCAGATCATGTGTGTTAGATTAGAGTTGGAGCTAAACTCTGCAGGGTGGTAGATCTCAAGGACCAGGTTTGAGCTTCTCTGTTCTAGATGAATGTGGATTGGCTGGACAAACAACAGACTTCCAAATGACAGTTTTGGAATTAGAATTACAATATAGCAGTCTTCTTAAGTCTTCTTCCCAAATCTTCTTAAATCAAACATCTTAAGTCTAAATAACATTTATAAATGAAACACACTAAAAAGTTTAAAGCCCAAAAATATGAAATCTAGCACTGGTGAGCCCAGAGAACCAACATCAAGGAAAATGCTATATGGGTGGGCTCAATTTTGATTTGGCTGTGGACAGCAAATACTTCATGCTAAACTACTACAGTTATAAAACAGTAAGATGGTATCGTGGATTCATCTGAGGGGCAGTACCCCTGCTGTCACTGGAGTGGTACCCTCGAGGGTACATCATCTTTACCTTTAGTTAGGGAACATAACTGTCCCATATTCATATCACACTCTATACACTCAATTGTCTTGGCTCCAGGATTTTTCTTTGATTGTTCTGTATTAAAACATTAGGTTATGAAAATGTACAAATGCATAGCTTATTTAAGGTACACAGTTGGACCTTGTGGCAGTTGGACCTTTAAGGGGATATCTACATTATTTCTAACAAAACAAAAATGTACCTGCATAGTGCCTTTTTTGTGACAGTATGTACTTAGTCTAAACTATACACATTCACTTTAAGTAGGGCATCACTGGCAGATTCACACCGTTTTTACACTTTCTCACTTTCTTTCCTGTCTCTCTCTTATACACACACCCACAACCTCTCACACACACTCACCAGACACCGCTAACACATCTGGTGGAGAGGGCCCGGGGCATGATTTCCGAGCCCTGCTGCATGAAGCCTCCTACCGGAAACCACAGGCTGTTTCCAAGCGTGTACTGATTCTCCAGCAGGTCCCTGCGCTCCCTCAGACACGGATGGGGGTTATACCACTCATACGGACTTAGCCTGGGAGGGAGGGAGGGGGGAGGGAGAGGGAGAGAAGGAGAGGGAGAGAGTGAGAGAGGGGTTTATAATAATAAAACAACCAAAATAAAATTGAGTAAATATTTTCAGTGAAACTGAGCTTGTAGAAGAAAGGTTAGAGAAAGACAGAAGACTGAAGGAGGATTATCATTAGCTTTTGGATTAAGCATACAGTAATGGAATCATTACTACAGTTCATTTTTATCCATTATTGAATGATTAACTGCTCGTTACTAAACAGATATGGTAATAATGTAGCTTTTTTTCTTTGAGAGAGAGAGTGAGAGAGAGGGAGAGAGAGAGAGAGGGAGAAGAGAAACGTGTGTGTGTGTGTGTGTGTGTGTGCGCATCTCTGAAAGAATTACCTCCACACAAAGAAAAGGAGAAGAGTCTTCATGTGTGAAGGTTGTAATATGTGAACACATTAAAGTGGAGTTGTGTAGGAGTATGTGTTAATGACTCGTACAGCTGAGGGAATTGGGGAGGAGGAGAGTGTTGGAGTGATTAATGAAAACGTCGAGGTAGACGGTGTTGTTGCCCAACCTCACCAGGTACCTTCTTTGAGGACCAGCATCCTACACAGACATCCTCACCTTGATGTCCCGAGCTGGTGTTTAATATTAAGGACTTATAAGTATCCAAGGGCTGTACCGGATCTTAGGGTTTCCCCACCAACCAAATTCCACTTCAACCCCAGCTTTCACACCATCTGAGATGAGCATGGGCACAGAGAACTTGCCTTCATTCCTGCATAGATTTAATGTATGGCTTTCAAGTTTCAAGTTGCATTTCCTGATGCTGAGGTGGACTGTGTTAGGCGCCAACAGTTTTCCGAAGTACTCCTGAGCCCATGTGGCTATATTTCACACAGTATCATAATAATTTCTCATGCAATGCTGTCTAAGGGCTGGAACGTCACTCAACAGTGGTTCCTGGCCTTGTCTTGTATGGACTGAGATTTCTCTGGATTCCCTGAAGCTTTTTAGACTATTATGTACAGTAGATGGTGAAAGAAAAAGTTTGGTACAAAGCGGTGAGCCATGACCAATCTTTGCTTGTAAAGCCTGAGTGTTGGATACTCTTTTCATACTCAATCATGATACCTTCACCTGTTACCAATTCACCGGGTTACTGTGGAATGTTTCAAAACTGTGTAATACACAAACACACACACACACACACACACACACACACACACACACACACATATATATATATATATATATATAGAGAGAGAGAGAGAGAGAGAGAGAGAGCAAAAGAGAGAGAGACATAGGGAAAGAGTACAAAACTTCATTATATAAAAACCACTGCTCTTGGAAACAAGTGTGTTTTTACCAAATGCCAATGTATATAAATACAGAGAGATTTTACCATGTCAAAACAAATGCAATGACAGCATTGAGGTATCACATGAATAAAATACACAGTTGATAAAAAGCAGACACTTTTTGCCTCAGAATCAGAGGGTCGAATGTAAATTGAATGTGTATGTGTTACCTGGCAGCCAAGAAGAGAACACAGCTCACGGCAAGGTAGGCTAAGAGCATGAAGAGCCAGACGGCAGGAGAGAAAGGGTCAAGGAAGGAGAAGTAGCCCGGCTTCCTGCCCTGTTGAAAAAACAATATAAGCAACTCAGTGCACTGTGTAACCAGTTATTATTATCAGTGGATTCAAGGCTTCATATTCCACCCCAAAACCTATGAGACCTACACCCTTGAGGCTTAATTTTATCATACATAATTATTTATTTATAGCTTTGCAGGCCATAGAAATGTCTCCTCTCCAGACAAAATTAAAGTAATTTTTTATTGTCCCTGTACACAGAGGAGGGCCATTTTAGAGTTTATCTGTTTAATTTAAGTCATATCTCTGTTGTTGACTTGATTGCATCTTCATTAATTAGGCAGTATATGACTGTACTTACAACTGGGATGGCATTCAATCATCACACAGTAAATAAGTGTCAGTGTAAGGCTTGTTTCTCCTTCTTTTTGTTTCACAATAACTATGATACAACTAGTAAAGTTCTTTCTATAGGGTCTTTACGCTAGCAACACAGTGAACACTTCAGTCTAGTACAGCAGTACCATTAGCATCTTAGCATTCTTCACATATCACATATTATGTAAAGATATGCTAGTTATTTATGAGTTAGAAGGGGTACACTAGAGGGCAGTCTGAGCTCAAAGAATGGGTGAGACAGAAGTGACAAAAAGAGCAAGAAAAAGTGCATGTTCTCATGTTCTATAGTGTGAATATAATATATATAGAGGGATTTTGAGAGGGAGTTGAACATTTGAACATGTCATTTTTAGCTTGATGTTGTAAAACCAACGAGCTGCACTTTCCCAACAATAGATGATTCCTAATGGAGTCACTGACATTATCTTCCCCTTAAAAGAGACACTAACATTCACACAAGCAAACAAATATTCACACTACCCAAAAATACCTTAGCTGCCTATTAGATATAAGCTAATTCACATTAGCATAAGGATGAGAAAAGCCAAAGGAAAATAAGAGAAAGAGCAGTTTCCAAAACTGGAATAAAAATATACAGAACAAAATGGGACTCCTAACAACCGTGCAAGACCTGGTAGACCACTGAAACTGTCACCATCAGATAAACAGTGAGTAAATTTTTCATCGTTGAGAGATTGCAGAAAATCAAGCTCCACTCTTGCTTTAGATCTCAACCCAAGTGTTTCTGTCCATCCTTCCGCTGAGAGAAGACCACTCAACTCTTTTGAGATGCGTTGCTGTCAAGAAGCTGTTGCTAACAAAAAGAAAATAGACAAAAAAAGGAGAATATTTGCACTAGAACACAGAAAACGTGACATCTGAGATGTGGAATAAGAGTCTAAATTTGAGATCTTTGGATTTAATAGAAAAGACAGTAGGTACTCCACCAAAGCAATGGAAGACTCTTTGAACAATATCTTCAACCATCAGTCAAGCCTAGTGGAGGATCAGTGCAAGTTTGGGGATGTATAACAAGTTGATTAGTTTTTGACTGAAGGCATAATAAAAGCTGTTTATGCAATAGCCTCTGGAAAATGTTTGACTGAGAAAAAAATGAATCCTACAGTCAGATAATGACCCCAAGTACACTGCTAAGAAGATGAAGATATTCGTATTAAACAAAGAAGCTGCTAGTGATGACAGAACAACAGATTTGCCACCTCAGAGTTCAGACCTCAACATCATTTAATGTCTCCGAGATTACTTGGATCATGGAAGCAGAAAATGCAACCAACTTCTAAAACTGAGCTTTGGAGGTGTGGAAAAATATCCCAGCAGATGTCTTTAAAAAACTGAAAGCAAGTCTTCTGAAAAGAGTATTTTATATAGTGTTTGTGTTATTCTGTACTCTTTGTGTATTTACAGGGATAATTATGATCCTCTCTTGGAACACTCTGGTAAACAATCAGGCCCACTTTGAAACAGCCCTTCCAATATAAATAAACAAACTTTGGTCTGGCTTGATACAGTTTCTGAGGCTCCAATGAAAAAGTGTCCAGAAGAGATGTACTGTCCAGTAGAACAAGTTTTAGACAATAGTGAGTTCCCTGGAGTGGCTGTCTTGCTTGAGGCTCTCTTGCAAGGCTTAAAATCATCCAGTCAGTGTTTTGAAGTACCCAAAATAACTCTAAATATCAAGCATCTTGAAACCTTGGCCTTAGAACCAGTGTTCATGACTCCAACAGAGAGAAAGGGAATTCATTATATAGAAGCAACGAATACCAAGGCTGACACACTGCTGACTAATAAGAACTTTTAACAATTAAGTTAGCCAGAAAGCACATGGACGAATCCCAGGCGTCCTGGGGAGAGTTGATTGAGCAGAATAATTAAATGTGGAATTGACTGTACGCTATGGGCCCTGTGATGCTTTGCATTATACCAGCTATCATGACATACTGGCCCATTATCGTAGTGTTTTAGACATTTTTATTCTATCTGGGCCTGCTGCCAATCTTGAAGTTAGTATGAATTCGACATAGCACCAAATATGCTTAAAGAGGAAGGGAGAGTAAAGCCACATATATACACTTGAAGCTGAATCACAAGTGCGTCATGCCGTGGGACACTGATCCAAAACAGGTAATGGCCCTATCAGAATGGTTTTAGAATGGCCTCATCAAAGATAAGGTCTAAATATCATTGAGATCCTGTGGCAAGAGCAGGAATAAACAGTGCATTCTTAAAAACCAAATGTCACAATGAAAAGAGCTCTGCTGAGACTCCATTGTGTAATAAGTGACTGATCAATAAGTACAAAAAGGTTGCAGACACTACTGCTAAATGTTCTTGCTAAATAACTTGTTCCTGGGGAAATGAAAGCAATTACTTTCTTGCATGACTTCACTGGAAGTTGTATAGCTTTAATAAATAATTAACTTAAAAATTAGTGTCATACGCTCACTTAGGTCCAGGTGCTGATAACATTCTCTGTCAAATAAGCAAAAATCTAGCACTATGTGACACACTGCTGCCATTGGTTTTGGTTTCATTTGTGTGATGTGCCTGTTTTTATTCTGCATTAAACGTTTTTAATTTTTCAGGTTTTGACTGCATTTTTATTTTTGAAGTGTGGTAACTGGGGTATTTTGCATTAGAGGAATTTGATCATTTAAAATCTTGCCCAAAGGAGTTTCCCTGGGAAATAGGAATAGCGGGTTTGAGCACTGGAACAGATATGTTTTTAGAGTTAAAACAGGGATGCTCCAAAATGGAATTAATAGGCCGATAATGATAACCAATATTTAACACCTTCCTACAACCAAAATCAATACAAATAACTGATAATTACTCTTTTCTTTTTGCATTTTTATACCTTAAAATTGACATTATAATCTCTATTTAAAGTGCAGTAGTCTTAAAACAGGCTAAAAAAGTTGGATGGATTCATTTTACATAGCCATGACATATTGTACTGGGACAGTCAGAAGTCTCAGACCATTTATTTAACTTTCAGTCAAAATGGCCATTAAGTTATTTGCTTTTCACCATTAGGAAAAAAGCAGAAAATATATTTAGAAAACTTACACAGATACCTCAACAATTAAACATAAATGAGCATTTTCAGTGTTTAGTGTGTCTACCTTTTGACTCTACTAAAGCTTCCATTCTTTTTGGGAGGCTTGTTTTCAGTTTTTCAGAAATCCGCAGGGCTATTTTTTCACACCTCCAAAGTTCAGTCTTACGGTATTTTCACACTTGTACTGAATATGTGTCCACACCCAGGACCAATTCTGGGCTTGTTTGGGTGAGGGGCTGATTATCACTGGTTTGCTTTCACACACAAGACTTCCATCCGAACCATGGATTGATTGAGCAACTCACATTTCTGTCACATTTCTGCATGCAGGTTTGCAAAGGCACTAGCTTCATTCCTTTGCTGCTTTTTATTATTCTTCTTAGATATAAACACTCAGAAGTGGAACAATTGACAGTTTTTTTTGTGCTTGAATGCCCTCTTCACTCCATATACCTATAAGGCAACCCTCTATCTCCTCCACTGTCCGCAACAATCCTTTCCCTGCCATCACAAAACTTGAAAAGGAAAGTGATGCGATAAGCTGAAGGAGTCATGTACGAAATGAACCAATCATGTCAACCCCACATGCTGTGTTGGGGGTGGACAGCTTCCAAACACAAGACCACACCCCAAACCTACAATTTCAGGAAAACCAGAGATCGGTTCTCTGGAAAGCTCCCAGGTTTAAAAACAGCTTTCACGCTTCACCAAATGTACCAAACTCACAGAGCAGCGGACCTGGGTCTGGAAAAAACTCTGCCCTTTGAAGTTGGTTGCATTTTCTGCTTCTCACCATCTAAGTAATCCCAAACACATTTAATGATGTTGAGGTCTGGACTCTGGGACGGCCAGTCCATTGTTCTGAGAACACCAGCAGCTTATTTGCTTGTTTGCTTTGTTTTTTGTAACACCTTCTTGAGAGTTACACATGCTATCAGACCCACAGGATTGAGTTCTCTTCTCAAGACAAAAGCTTTAAACAGTGTTTATCTGATAGTGACAGGTGGTCTGCCAGGTCCCAGGTTGCTAGGAGTCCCATTTCTCTATATATTTTAAACTTTTGGTACAACTTCAGTTTTGGAAACCCTGGGTTTTCCATTTAATTTCTGCCCTTCCCAATCTTTATGCATGTAGATTATCTTATATTTAATCTACTCAGAAATATATCCTAAAAATTAGTAATGTGTACTTAATGGCTGTTTTGACTGGAAATCAAATAAATGAATGTAGTCTTTGACATTTGCAGTGAAACTTGACAATTACTGGAACATTATTGTTTGTAAATATTTTACATTATTTTGTAGATGCACTTATTCTGAACCACATATGATGGTAGGCAAATGTGATGTTAAAGGTCTTCTCCAAGGACCCTTGGAAAAAGCAGGGGCTTTCCTGCCTGAACCTGGAATCAAACCTGCAATTTTTCAGGTCGGGGTGGTGTTATTATCTGTGCATGGAAAGCAAAGGAAATGTCCAGCACTAGTGACTACGTGTGTCATTGTGTGCGCTAGCAAAAAAATAGGCTGCTAAATTATCGGTTGAAATTATCAGCCATAATTCCAATATCAGACCAATAATAGTAATGAAATTTTCCCGTTTATCAACCAATATTACAAAAGCTGCTGATTTATTGTGCACCCCTAGTTGAAAATGAGGAAAGATAAGTGTGTGCTGATGAAGTACAGTGGCAAACAGTAGGGCTGGGTGGCCTGTATAGGAAGGAGCTGACTGAGCAGTTTGACTGGGAGCCAGAAACAGCAGCACGTGTACACAAGAAGAATCTGTTAGCACATGTATTAGTGCGGGTGGACTGAGGTATGCTTCCTAGGCAGTTTGTGAGTAAGCTGCATTGTGACTGCGTGTGGTGGTGGGTGTACTGTGGGTTATACTGGCCACAAGCACTGGCAAGTAATCAGCACGCTAGGAAGCTTCCTGCTTAAACTCTGCCAAGTGTGCCTACTGTTTACAGCAAGTCCAGAATATATATGCTTTCAAGCACTTTATGATAACTGATCCAGTCATCACTCATTACAGCCCACTGCTTATGACAATGCATAGTCAGAGAAAGAACTAATTGAGTGGAGGCCTTTGGAGGATGAACTGGCAAAAGGCTCCAGACTGTTCACTTTTGCAATTTTCATTTCTTCTGATTTCAATGTCACTTTTAAAAACCTTTCTAATTAAATATTAATATCATAAATTTTCATTTTCAATTCAAGACAGCTCCATTCTCTGTTACCGCACTGTGTAATTTAAACATGTCATTCTTCCAAGAAGAACCTTTTCTGGTCGAGTTCCAGGGGCTTTTATTCTTAAGCACTATAAATAATGACACAACGTTTTCCACCTAACTTAAAAACTGTTTAGGAAAAAAGTTTGTGAATTCTTTGGAATTATTTAGCTTTCTGCCTGTCTGCGAAAAAGATTGCTTTGTTTGATTGTTTAAAAATATGTGGTCTTTATTGAGACTATACGCATAACTCCAGTGCTATTCGGACAGGATTAGTTTTACATGAGGAGGTGGGGAAATGTCATTTTTTACTTCTGTTTCTCAGTGATTTTAGTTCCATCCAAATGCACATTGTCAGTCATTTTCAGGGTCTGCACACTTTTGCATCATTAAAGATTCTGGTGCCTTTTACCTTCCATAAAATGAGCAGTAGAAATAACTGGTTATATTAATTCCTTAAAATCTCAGGCTTATTACATACTAAGGCTTATTATTCAGTAATTACAGGGACTTCAGTGCTGGTATGTACTGTCTTACATCACATATACAACTCAGAACATTAATATATCTAAAAATCACAAAAAATTGTTTGAAATTATGTGGCAATGTTAACTGTTGGCTGTGAATTCCTAAGCCAATGAAAATGACAGTTACACAGTGCATTCACTTAAGGCAGCAAGACAGATGGTTAATGTAAATGGAATTACGGCTAAATTAAACATTTTTCTGAGTCTGTAAAAAAAAATACACACAAAAAAACCCGAAAAAACACAATAAAATATGGTGTCTGTGTGCTGCTGTGAGTCACACTGCAAAGCTTTAAATCATAAATTGGCAACGTCTTGCTACTAGTGACTAGTTAGCATTTGGCTTGATAAACAAAATTTTCTTCTTAAACTGATTAAAATAGTGCTTGGGAGTATGTATACAGCAATGCGGACAGTTAATCAGAGTGTAACAGTCAAAATCCATGTAGTAGTGGTCATCTTAGCATGCGAAATACATACCAGATGAGTGAAGTGTTTGAGGCCAAGACTATCAAAAGCCTGCACCAGCAACAACCACAACACTTCACATGGCTCAACGCATTACAACTCAAATGACAGTACCACTTCTCATTTCAGACATCTCATGGGTTATCATGGGTATTGGATTGTGTGGGACATGTTTTCACGTGTATGTAAGGAGCAAAGAGAATAATGGCCAGCTATGATTCATTTCACAACATCCTGAAATGAACATAGTAGGAAAAGTTCACTGCTTCAGCTACAGTGGCCAAGAAAGGAACTGGCACAGCAGAGAGAGAGAGAGAGAGAGAGAGAGAGAGAGAGAGAGAGAGAGAGAGAGAGAGAGAGAGAGAGAGAGAGAGAGAGAGAGAGAGAGAGAGAGAGAGAGAGAGAGAGAGAGAGAGAGAGAGCACTGAAAGCACTGAAAGTAAGACACATTTTATGAGGGTGTTTAGCTGCTCATTGTGCCAATTACCTGTAAATGCAGATTACCTGTATTCTATGTGCAGCCTACCACAGAGATCCACAGAGATCATGGAGATTCTACTTAATTTGGAGGAAACAACCTAATTCTGTCTCACCAGAAGGGCTTTGTCTGAAACAGTCCACATTCAGGTACCACATCTTACTGAAATTGCCTGGGATATCTTTCCATATATGCTAAAGAGAGCAGGGTGTGAAATGGAGCTTTGTAAGCTCTGCTGTGAAAGCTTGTAAGCCCCCTCCCCCTTAAAGCTAAGAATGCGAACTGTAGCACTTTCAGCACATTGCAAAGTCAGTCTGTGTAATGCAGCTAGAAGTGACAGTGGAGGAAATAACCAACGTGAAACATTCTTCTTGGTTTATCTGAACAGTCATTACCCCATAGAAGTTATAGTTTAACAGGTTTATACTTTTATACAAGATTCTTATGGTCTAAGATAAGTGTGAGATTGTCAGAGAACATATTTTTAAGAATACCACTTGCACTTGCACAAAGAAATTAAATTAAGAAGTCTTTTGAAGAATAATATTTTAACATTTTCTTAAGCATCAAGTTATGAGAAAAGAAGATTTTCTTTTTTTAAGATACTTTTGTGAATCCAGCTCTTGGATGGAGCTCCATCACTCATCACTCCATCACTGTGGAATGCAGTTTCACTGCTCCACAGCCCAATGTTGGGGGGCTTTATACCCCTCTAGCTTCTAGATGCTTTGCACTGAGCACAATGACCTTAGGCTCATGTTCAACATGATATTTTATTGGTATTGTTTTTCCATGTAAATTGAACCAAGTTGCATAATTAAACACCAGCATCAGCAATGGGTGCACTTGAACGTAGCTAAACTCACTAAATAGAATGTATGGTGTATATTATTGTATAGTGTACATTATTGTGTATATGCTGGTATATACCAATAGAATATATACTGACAGAACTATGAGTATGCTCATATATTGTTAAATATGTTCTATGGTACACTCTAAAAGTGTAGATATAACTGAGTATATGTAAAATATACATTCAAATGTATCTAAATTACACAATCTTACAATACATCAGTGCTGCATAAGGGATTCTTTAATCTGTATTTTAGCTCCTTTTTAAAGTCAATCCCTTCCTGACTTTGTATTCACAATATGTACAATAATAGCTTGCTGGAGTACAATATTGCACATAAGAAAGCAAATTAATCTATCACGTACATGTAATATAAATGAACATTATATAGACGTTATGAATTATTTATTGCATTACCTACTAAAATCCATGCTAGTGGCTATGTAAATGTTTGGCTCTTATTTAAACTCACAAAGAAAAACTCACACCCTACCACATCATCCTTGTACTTGAACTGGAAAACTCAAACACATACAGAGAACAATGCTGCAACATAAACAAGTAATTTGTAGTGGTCTCTTACTATGTGGACACGGTAGAGAATGCTGATGCCCAGAGTCATGAAGGGTTTGGAGAAATCTATGACCTTCTCCCTCTCTGATGTGATGGTAAAACCTGCTACAGCCAGATCAGCTTTCTGAGAGAGAGAGAGAGAGAGAGAGAGAGAGAGTGAGAGAGAGAGAGACAGTGAGAGAGAGAGGGAGACAAATGAGAATAAAAGAATTACAGACACTGTTATTTAACATATTCATCACAGAGAAGCCTTTCAGATTAGCTAAATCAAATCATTTAAACATATCTGAAAAAAAAATATGAAGGACACAAAAGAAATGACGGTTTCTTTGCATTATTACTATCTGTGATCAATTCAATATCTGTATGTTTGCTCTGTTCTAATTCGGTAAATGTCAGAGAGCATCTCCCATTGACCTCCAAAGTCCTGTTTTATCCTGTAGTCAATGTCGCACCCAAATAAGAAACTCTCAATCTAATCTGATTCTCTCTATGGAAAAAATAATGCTAGTGTACTTTAGAGTAGCCAAGCAAATACATTTTGTCCTTTGCACATTTTTTCCACTAAATGTCACAGGAACTGAATTACAAGGTCAATAAGGAGTCAAAACAGTACCACATACATGCTACATGCATGAAAATAGGTGTACTACTTAGGGATGTGCAACCCAACCAATTTTGATATTCAAGTATTTGAGTTCATGAACGGATACTTGGTTAAATATAAACTAGGGCTGCAGGCTTACCTTTTTTCAGATGTTACACAAAAATATAACAGCACACAGAGAAACATGTTTTATTGTTCAAAAACAACAGAGGGACATCGGTAGGTTTTCATGTTGGATGACTATGGATGAGGCTGCCTCTTCAGATGATGAGCTTACATAGCTAACCAGAGTCACGCTGGATGCTGATGAGGATCCACTATATAATGTGCACTATACAATGTACTTTCTCTTCAGTGGACTCAGTGGACGTGCCAACATGCTATTTGTCAGAGAAATATATTTTTATTGTTTCTGGACCTAGCTAACGTCAGCTAGAGTCACTAGCCTAGTCAGTGATGCTCATATTCAGGCGCTTGTGTTCTGAAGGAGCAAAGTATATCAGAAAATTTACTCCCAAATACGTGCAAAACCATTGCATTTTACTGCATTGTTAGCCTGCATGTATTCTCATCTTCTTATGATGAAACATAACAAATACCTAAATAGTGAATTTTGTATTCGAATGCCAGCACCTCAAACAGCTAAACTTAAAAATATACCTGTGCACATATATACCTCAGTGGTTCTTTAACACTATTGCCAAAACAACACCAGTCTGTTGATCTGCATGGGGTATTTAGGCAAGGTTATCAATGATCTTGTAATTCAGAAGATGACATTTCAGGGAAAAAATGGATGACGTGTTTTGGCTTTAGAACACTTTTGCCACACAGCAGATGTGTGATAGCAGAGAATTTAGAAAAACAATGCTCATTTTTCTCAGAGAAAAAAAAAAGCTTGGACCTGGAAAGACCAGTATTTGGGTATATCACCAACTACAAAATAATGCCATGTTCTCAAAGGTCTGTTATCTTCTTGCTACAGTTTCCCTTGGTGGACCCAAGTCACAGGAGTCAATCTAGGTCACCTGCATCAGACTCCAGTCTTCGTGGGCTAAAACACTGCAGACTGTAGCATTCTGCTTCATCAAACACACCTGATTCTACTTATCAGCTAATCAGCAAGGTCATCGTGAGTTGAATTACACGAAGAAGAATGTTACTTCTGCAGGGCTATGACCCGGAAGGAACCCAGCATGACATGCATGATCTAGGCATGGTCTGTGACTGAGGTCATTACATAAGTATGCAGTAATTCAGAAAATTTTGAAAATTTTTACAGGTAAAATTTTGAAAATTTTACAGGTAGAACATCACTATGTTTTGAAAAAAATGTTTCCTCTGATTTACAAATCTTTAAGTGCAAAATTCTACGTAAGGCACAATCAGATGCAAAAGGTTGGGCCCTCCTTGGATAAATGACATTTAAGTACTGTTTATTTGCTAAATTTAATACATTAGAAAAAAAAAACGTTATGGCACATTTAATACGTTATGTTTTAATTTTAACTTATTAAGTAAATAACTAGAAATTGTGCCCTGCCATATTTAAGTTTGTTCCCAGTAGAGGATATGTTAACTTATTTTCTTAGAGGATATGTTAACTTATTTTAGAATATGGGATATCAAACTTTTGCATATGACTGTTCATTTAAAGCAAAATATGATAAAATAAAAATACATAAACAAGTAACTAATTTTTGCATTCAGGGCTTCTGTTCTTTGCTTCCCTTTGAATTTTTTATAGTCTTCTTTAAACTGGTAAATTTACAATGTTGATTATTTAATGGCAATCAAAATATTGGACTGCCACTGTTCAGTGACACCCACAGCATGTTCTACTTATTATATAAAAGGAAAAAACATACACAGAAGTATTTTATGCTGGCTCAAAACAGTCTGCCAAAATACTCTGAACGTGTATGGTCTGATTTTATTTGCATTTGCACTGCTATTTATCCTAGTGGGACAATGTGATCAGCGCTGATGTGCCCTAAACAAGCATAACTAAAAGAGTATCCCACATTTTACAGCTAAATGGTCTATCTACCATCTAAAGAAGTCTCATATTACTGATTTCATGAAAACAGACCATGAAGCTCAATTTACTTTAAGCCAATGATTTACAATGATCACTGTTGGATTGCAGAGTGAGTAATAAGTTATATGACCACTCTCTCTGCTGCTTTGAATGGACATTATGTTATAGAGCTTTTGAAAAGCTGGGCCTTGGGATGTTATTCAGTCCCTCCATGACATTAACTGACTCTTTACTATTGTTGAGACATACTGGCAAATGGAGCAAGCAAATACAGAGACCATCTTAAAGTAAGAGATATTACACAACACGGTATTTAGAGCCTTTCTGTAGACTACTGAAAATAACAGTCAATACTTGTCTGCTCATTTGTTTCCAACTCATGCTGTAAGGCAGTTATTATGAAGTGCTTATGGTATTTCTGGGCGGCACTGATCTTTTACTGCATCAGTAAAGATTCCAGCACCTTCTATCTTCTATAAAACTGACCGTAGAAGTATCTCCAGGATATATTAATTCTGTGTGAATTTCCATTTGGTAAATATTCCATCAGATCCCTGTGCAATAGGAACTTTTGTGTTAGTCTCAAGTATGAACCCTCAAGGCCTTCTAGGCCTTAGGAGATGGTCTAATGATTTGCAATGATTCACTTTTTTACATTTTCTTGTTGAATTTCAACTCTAAGTATTATAGTAATTATCTTATTTCATTGTTCAGTTTTGCTTGGAAACAAAAGGGTTTCATTTTTTAAATGCATTACAGAAAGTTATCCAATTGGGATTTTTTTTCGTCGCAACAGTATTTAAGTAGATAGAGCTAAGCTAGCTCTACCATTGGTTAGGACTTCGGGAGCTGGTCTATTGTGTCAGATTAACCACTAACATAATTAGGAACTGACAGAGCAATCAACCAATCACATTTTGATTTCCAGTGGATGTGACCAATTTTGTGAGAAAAACCATCACTCTAGGCCTACTGGAGTAAAAATAAAAATCAACATTGCTGCTTAACACCAACACTGGCACAGATGCTCTATTACTCAGCACTAGCTTACAGTCCAGAGAAGGTGTGTAAGGGCATACTTTGTCTAAACCGAAACACAGCCTATGGGTATATTTTGTGCTGTTTATGTCCCCAGTATCAGCATCAATCCATTGACCTTGATTCCAAGAGGCACTTAAGGACACATTTAGGTATTCATGCATATTATCTTTGACACGCAAGAGGAGGAAAGGGAAGAGAAGAAAAATGTATAGAATTGGCTGCATTTATGTGCAAAAGGATCTACAGAAGGGCTGAATGAAATTCTTTTGGGATTTAAGGCTGAGGAAAAGAAATGGCTCAGTGAAAAAAAAAATGACTAAGAGTGGAGGGAATGACAGAGGTATGAGATGGGGGAAGTGTGAAGGTGGAATATTATATGAAAGTCCTTGAGGGCAGCAGAGAAAGAGGATATTTATTGCAGAGAGGAGGAAGGGGGACTCCTCCGAAGGAATAGAGGAAGGAACACAGCCTTAGGAGAAAGGAATGAATGAGAAGAAAAGGTCAGAATACTTCCTGAAGTAGGAATACATGGGGGGTGGGGGAGGGATAGTTTTTAGAGCTCGAAATATTTGTCTGAGCCCAACAGGATCCAACTATTTACATCAGGTTTGGAAATCACTTCTTAAATATTTGTTAGGCTCGAGTCAGGCTCAAACTTCACACTTGGGCTTCTCACAGTCCATCTATCACCTTTATCAGATTCTGTCCTGCATTTACAAGGGATGTACACGGGTACTTGAATCTTCATTTAACCAACTGAAATCACTATTTTGGATATTTGTTGTGTGTCATAACTTCTTTTGACATTTCTTTTTTCCCTTTCCACAATTAACCGGATATCAGTTCATTAACCCTGACACTTTGTCCTAACAGCAAATGACGCAAGTGAGGGACAATGACAAAACCAGAACATTTCCATTATAATCAGTGAACTAGTCTACACCAGCTGTGAGTGGTAGAGTGTGATGCAAAGAGATTTAATGTGCAGTTTTTGATGGACGCCCTATTTTTTTCTGACGTGTAAAAGAGTAAAAAAATTAGGAGAGAAACTGCCAGAGTGCTGTGGTTAGATGTGAAATTGCCAGAGTGCTGGAAGTTACATGTGAATTTGTTTTGTGTCAGGATTTGTAAGGATATGTAGTTAGCTAGACTTAGCAGATACATGTTAGCAGATACAACTAAGGGTGGTATAAAGCTGTGTGAAATTAAACACTACCAGAAGCAAATTCTTTTTTCACATCCTCTAGTCCTTTCCCATTGAAGTGTTTCTTTTTTTTTTTTGCCAGGCAGATTTTACTCTGTGTTTGGTATAACCGCAGCTTAATGTTATTTTAACCATAATATTATACTACTGATGTTAAATGTGGGGATAGGTTCATGGGCCTCATGAACGATTTGCGGTGCCAGTTGATAATATATTTGGACCCTCGCTTGCTGTTAGGACATGGTGGTATGCATAGTTAGCATCTACACTTACCATCTACTACTAGCATCTAACCCTGCTTCAGTTATTCTCTCTACTTCATTCTTCTTATCTACCTTTATGACCTTAAACGCTTTTTACTCTGGCATACTAGAGTCACAGCAAGAGAATAGCATGTATTAGCTAAAGTATATCTAGACTTAAACCTTTTCAGATGTAGTTTGAAAAACATTATTAAAAACACTGATTAATTTAAACTAATTTCTTTTTCCAATATGTTAAAGTCATCAAATAAATAGTAATTATGAGCTAAAATGTGTAGAAGTCTGTTCTCTGTAGATGATGTGTTAACTTATTTTCTCTTAGAAAATCAGCAAAACGTTATTTTATCAGGAACACTCAAACTTTGGAAACAACTTACAGTTGTATACAAAAGTTTAAACATCCCCGGCTAAATGATCATGTTCTAAAATTTCTGCAAATTTTAGAACACGATTTCTATTTATTTACTAAGTTCAACAAATTGGAATAAAACTTTAATAAAAACTATCAAATGTACCATAACATTTGTGTGGGCCAAATTTTATGTATTATTTTTTCCCAAATGTTAAATCCAGCAAATAATCAGTAACTGTGCATTAAAATGTGCAGACATGCAGATGTGTTCACTTATTTTCACCTAGAAAATCAACCAAATGTCATTTGACCAGGGGTGCACAAACCTTTGCATATGACTGTCCTTAATACATATCACAAAAACACATAATTCAAGGGCTGTTTTTGCAGCATATTTTCTATAGAATACATGGTCTGGAAATCAAACAGCACTTTTTAAAACATGTTTCTAAACTACATCAAACTCCAGAAAAAAAAACAAAAAACAGTTTTCCGAATTGTGGACCTCATAAACAGAAGAAGCTGGGAAAAGAAATGGAGGGAGACATGCCATTTTAAGAGGATGAAGAGAGCATAAGAGAGCTATGTAATCCTTCAGACAGATAGGCGCAGATGAAAGCTGTTATGGGAAATGAAAAAAGGGCGGGAAGGATTGCTGAAGTGAAGGAGATGGAGGGAGAGTGCTAAAACACGGACGGAGAAGATGTGCTTCTAAGACAAAAGCAGAGGGAGGGAAAGAGGGATGTGGTTGGAGGGCTCACGAGGAAAGCAAGACAAGAGTGATACTTCTTAGAAGGGAGGAGTAGAGGGATGAGTAGAGGGATAGGGAGAGGGAAGGTTCTTGAGGAAGGAGAGCGAGGGATGTGGGTCGATGGAATGATGGAGGAGAGGGAGGACAAAGAGATCAGCTGAGGTTCATCCTAAAAGGAGTGCACCCCAGACACCGTTCAAGCTGCGTAATTACTGCTTAATTGATTAACGAGGATAGCCTCATTAAACACTTTCACAGTTTCATCAAGCCCTACTGTCTAGAGAGAAGGGATGGAGTGTGTTTCTAGGAGGAAATGCGTGTGTAGTTTACTCACACAGCACATTAATGTGTGCCAACCTCACACAGGCTCTAGCAGCTGTAATTGAAACACACTACAGTATAATTACCAACGGAGACACATGATTAGCATGTGCACGCATGTGTGTACGCGCATTTCTATGCCAACACGGCCCAAGCGCGACCTACTCACACCGTGGGTAATATAAGGTCATTATCATCATCATTACCAATATCATTATGTTTAGCATTAGCAGTAATAGTGGAGGTGCTGAAACAATAGCTGTAATCTCAGCTTTAATGGAAGCATCAGTTGTAGTTGTAGCCTTTCTGCAAACTGTGCAATTGCCAGAGAGAGAGAGAGCTAATGCAGTTGTGAATTAGGAGCCAGAAGCATGTAAATAAAACATCAACATAAAGAAAATATTCATTTCAGTTCTAAGGAACATATTTATAAAGTTATAAATCATCATACAAATCATCAATTATCATTTTTAAGACTAAACAGAAAACAAGATGTACAATGAAAACACAGACACACATAAATGCTCCCAAACCCCACCCCCTCCCAAACATATTCCCATATGTGGATTGTTGAAACCTTAGCATTGTGAATTCTAGCAGTAAAGAGCTCCATCATAACTATATGATGAAAATAAAATAACCATGTCCTACTATGCAATATATGAGGGGGCATCCAAGGCTGAGCCCTTTTTTTTCGCTGTGGTCAAACCAGCACAAATTTGACCCTGAAGAAAGATTTTTTCAATTTAAAAAATAAGCTTTATCTGAATTTACAGCCCTGTTTCCAAAAGGTTGGGATGCTGTGCAAAATGTAAACAAAAAGAGAATGCAATGATGTGCAAATCATTTAAACCCTAAATTTAATTTAAAATAGTATATAAACAACATATCAAATTTTGATCCATTTGAATCCATTTTGAATTTGATGCCAGCAACACATTACGCAAAAGTGAGGACAGGGGAACGTGCTGTGCTTCTTTTAACAACACTCTGTAAGCATTTGGTAACTGAGGAGACCGACTGTTGTAGTTTTGAAAATGAATGAATGGTTTTCCATTCTTGCTTGATACAGGACTTATGCTGCTCAACATTTAGGCTCTCCTTTGTTGTATTTTTAGTTTCATAATGCGCCAAATGTTATCAGTGGTGACAGGTCTGGACTGCATGCAGGCCAGTTTAACACCTAGACTCTTTTACTACAGAGTCATGCTGTTGTAATACATGTAGAATGTGGTTTGGCATTGTCTAAGCAAGGCTTTCCTTGAATGGCAGCATATTGCTGCTGTCGCAGTTCCGGTGTGAGCGACCCTCGAATGCAACTTTTTAAAAATGTTTTTTATTTGAGTTAATGCTGTTGTATCCTGGATTAATGTTTCAGTGCTGTGATTTATTTATCTTTTCTACAAATGCAGTGTTTTAGAAATGCTTAATTTCTGGTAATGTGTGTGCGTTCTGTTATTTGTGTTTGTGTTCTGTCTTTTGTATTTGTGTTCTCACAAACCCCTGCACTATTTGCCTGTTACTGATCTGTTGCCAAATTCAAAATGGGCATGTATTTTTACAAAAAACCAATAACATTTCTCAGTTTCAACATTTGATTTGTTTTCTTTGTACTATTTTTAATTAAATATTGGTTTAAATGATTTGCACATCATTGCATTCTGTTTTATTCACATTTTGCAAAGCGTCTCAACTTCTTGGAAATTTGTTACTGAATAATTCAATAACATTACTTTCATCATGTGAACGTAGGGTTATGAACATAGAAATCATGCGATTTCCATAGACACAGCTGCATAAACTGTGTAACGCAGTTCCCAATTTTTAATTTTTTTTATCATCGACAGTGGACAGCTGGTATGAGTGGATCAGACACAGCAGTGCTGCTGGAGTTTTTAAACACCTCATTGTCACACACCAAAAACATCCAGCCAACAGCGTCCTGTGATCACTGATGAAGGACTAGAGGATGACCAACACAGCAGACGAGCTGGACCAACAATGTAGGGAAGTCTAATAGAGTGGACAGTGAGTGGACACAGTGTTTAAAAACTCCAGCAGCACTACTATAACACACCAGAACCATGTCAGCGTCACTGCAGTGCCGAGAATGATCAACCACCCAAATAATTCTTGCTCTGTGGTGGTCCTGTGGGGGTCCTGGCTAAAAAAACATGCAGAGAAACAGACGGACTGCGGTCTGTAATTGTAGAACTACAAAGTCCCATATGGTAAGTGGAGCTGATAAAATAGACAATGAGTGTAGAATCAAGGAGGTTTCCCTACTAAAATGCTCAGTGAGTGTATATCATGTACGGTACTGCACCAAGGTCAAACACCACCTGCTAACTTATTTCATTTCCTAGCAAAATGCCCATAAAATAGGTTATAAAAGTTATTTATTTTTCAGCATCAGGAAAAATACAAAGAAGCAAAAGTCACAGAGAAGCCTTGACAACAATACAATTTAATATGTAGCGTGTCTACTCCTTACATGTCATTTGACCATAGGCATGCAATCTTTTGCATATGGCTGTGTAGCTGTGTGTATGTTTTAATTCACTAGGCTATAAAGCTCTTACCCTATTGATGAGCTCCCCCACCATTCCTGTCCAGGACCCATTTGGCTCTGGCGCTCCATATAGCCCATCATCCACCAGCTTAATCTTGAAGGAGAACTTCAAAATATCGGACAGTTCCCGCAACATGTCCACACAGAATCCTTCATACTGGTCGTTTCCCACAAAGTCCTGGTAGTTTTCTTTTCGCATCACATATGGGTCCTCCTATTAAGCAGCATTACAGCCATGTTAGTAAAATAATCCATAAGTGTCCATTTGTCTTATGTACCATAAACTTAAATCAGACAGCCATTTGGGTCATCAGTAGGCAATAAAATGACAGTGAAGTTGCCATAGAACAGCGATTGCTTTATCATAACTGAAAGAAAGCTGAAATTTCACTGCATACAATGTCTGGATGGACTTAGAGGGTAATGAGGGGCATTTGGAGAATAGCCTAATTGTTACTTTTTATGGCTTCTCTGTAGGTTTGGTGGCAGAAAGATCTTATGCAAATCCATTAAAACTATTCAACTTCAGCAGGGAATTCTTCTTCTCAATTAGACTTAGGCATTACAAAAGATTAGAAGATAATAAGTCTTTTGAGCACATGAAGTCCTGAAACTTCGATGGCTTACTTAATAATGCATGTCTTAATCTTGATCCATGGTCAATATACACTGAGTTGCCAGTTATTGAATACATTTAACTGGTACTTACTGATACATTTGTACTGGTGTAACCCTCACTACCATGCCACTGTTGTGATGAGACTGGTGCCCATCCAAATAGAATCTGGGCAGTGGTGGTCCTATGATGATTTCTTTCCAGTGAAGGATGAGATAGAGGCTGAGAAGTAGTATTCAAGTCTAGCCTATTTACCTACAAAAGACACCTGTATGATAGGTGTACCTGATAGAATTACGAATAAATGTAGCTACAAGGTACGTTTACTTAATAAACTGGCAATTTAAATTTGCTATACAGTAAGAAATAAAGCATTTCACTGGTGAATCGAAACTCAAAACATTACACCTGCATGGACATTACAGATTCAGAACAGCAAAGGTGTCAATGTGATGATAAATTTGAAAGTCCCTTACCAATATGGTAGTCACGATAAGCGTCTTGTTGGCCAAGGTATGTGACGTGTTGATGTCTAAGGAGGTGGAGTTCATTGCCAGTGTGTTGTTGGAGTACCAGATGCCAATCTACAAAGAAATATTTGGAGGGCACAAAGCTCTAATTATTATTCTAGTTGCTGCATATTTAGTATGTCTCTCCATAACTTCTTGGCTCAAGTTCATCACATAACAGATCTAGAAGGCTAAGCTGTGTTCAAAGCCCTATAAAAAAATACTACAATAGCACAAAGCTATTATAACCATTAAACAGTTACTGCTGTTCATAAAATCATCTTTGATCAAGATGATGTTTTATTAAACACTGTATTTCACAATGTTGTATTTTATTATACTATACATTCATTTGTTTGCATTCGTTTGTCTCTGATTTATCAAAGCAATAATCCAAGAAGAGCAATGCAATACAGTGATTTCACCACAGGTAGGGGTTAAATTCTGTGTTGTGTGGGTGCCTAAACATCACCATTTAACTGAGGTAAAACCACTGTACTATGCAGCCTCTGGTGGCTTATTGCTGTCTCTCCACAAGATCGTACAAGCTTGCAACCAGCCTTCCTTCTGAGTAGCTTGTTTTCACTTGCTAAGTACTGGTAGGCTGTGGCTGTGCAAGCATGGTTAAAGCACTAGAGGGTCTTTAACCATAAAGCAAAACTTAAAGTGGACTGCAGCTATTTTGTTTTCAAAATACATAAAGCAATCGAAACACAAAACAAACCACAGCCAAAGTATACCAAGACAACCTCAACTGATGGTGTTCACACACAGATCTTTTCAAATGAACCAAACTTAGTTCTGTTAAAGTGAATATGAAAGGGGATCAGTTACAGTGTTTTTTGTGTTCACAATGTAAGCAAACTTTAAAGGACCTCAGGGATTGAACTCGAGTTGTCCCAATGATAGGGCCAACACGTAAAGGGTTCTGCCACTCAGGAGCCCCCAGTCTTGAGCCCTCTTTAACCACAAAGCAAAATGAGACAGGACTGGGACTGGTTTGCTTTTACATTGCACACATCAATCAGACCACAACAAACAAACCAGACTGCACTGAGACCCTCTTGGGAGGTGGTCACAATTTGATTTGTTTGTGGGAGCGTTTAGGAGTGGTCTGAGTCTGTTTGCCGTGTTCACATATGCATAGAAAATCATGATTCAGCAGTCTGTTGAAACGCTGAAACAGTCCAAGTGTGAAAACACCCCAAGTCTCAGTTTAGAGTTGTCTGAGTTTGTCTGACGTGTTCACATATGCAAGAGAAATCATGACTCAGTGGTTTGAGACTACTTAAAGAAGGCTGAAGTTTGAAAACGCCTTAGAAGTCTGTGTAACCTCTTTGTGCCCTCCTCTGAATTTCTCCAGAATGCGCAAAGTGTAGTTTGTCCGCTGGCCTTTGCTGTTAAACTCTACTCGTCCTGTCAAACCATCATATTCCACCTTGAAAAAAGAAAGAGTGAGAGCAGACACATTAGAGAGAAAGATGATAGGTTTACAGCTTTTAAAAGAACTTACAAATACAACACCTTCCATACATGGAGGAACAACAAAGATGAAACAGTAACTGTACACTCAAGAAACGTTCAATGCATCAAAGACATAAGTGGCAGCTTTTTCTTCTGAGTATTTGAGGCTTAATGTGTTTTATTGTTTTGGTACAACAGAATTTTAGGCCCTCTATTTATGATGATCATATAAATAGGGACCATGAACATTCAGCTTCGATGCTGATAGGGAATAACAAAAATGCATCAAAAAATTAACACTCTGGAGGATTTTGGATATTAAAATGTGATGAAAAAACAGAAACAAACTGAAAATAAATATGGATGAAGACAAGAAGTCTCCAAAGCTGTGAGAAATATGCTGGTTTACTCAGTTCTCAGCTCAGATTTACAGCTTTTGTCTGGACAAGAACCGAAAATGGTGAAATGGTGCAAAGGCTCTGCAAAGCATCTCAAGACAGATTACAAGAAAGTGGTGATGTCAGTGGTTTGCAGGTTCAATGGAGTGAGATGTTTGTAACTATTGGTGCCACACTTTTTGATTATTTTTTATTTTTACTAAGCATTTCCAGCACATCTTAATTTTCATAATCAGTTTTACTGGAATACACACATAAAAATAACTATTTTGACTGCACTGTCTCAGTACTTTTGGGAGGAGTTATATTATAGTGCAGCAGGTTCAGGAGATATCACAATAAAAGTGACATTTGCTTTGTAAAATGCTTTTCAATGAATCCCAAGGGCACGCTTAGAGTTTAGTTTCCTAGGAGTTTAGTTTGGGCACTGCAGCAGGCTGGAAGTGAAGTAACAAATAATCCACTTACTTTGGATAAGATGAAAAAGAAGTAAACTGTTTCATTATGGTTTTGGAATAAGCTCCTCCATTTAGGAAAGATGGAACATGTCCCAACTACAAATCAGTCACTCTCCTCTAGAGAATTGGATAGAAGTGAGACAAGGTATGATTTACTGCTGCCTGTCAAGCCCTTTTCCTACATTCATGCTGAACAAATCATATTCACTTCACTGAGTTGTATAGCCAAATTATCCCTGATCCAGATGTCCTTGTCACTGTCGCAATGAAATCTCATATAAACACTGGCGTTCAAAAGTGTGGAATCATTAATATCACTATATTAATAACTGCTGTTCTTGTTTTAAATTAACAGAAGTAGCATTACTGAATCAGGATGACAAAAACACGCTAAATTATCAGGTGCATGTGCTGCTACGAGTCACCCTGTAAAGCCCCATATAATCATTTAAAAATGTCAGGTCAGATCTTGTGTGAGTTCTTTGGACCACATACTTCTGTTTGACATATTTGTAAATCATTTTAGAATCACCTACTGCTCTGATCCTCATTCTGGACACAACTAACATTTCTTCATTATTTACAGCGTCCTGCCATTTAGTTAAAATCTATGAACCTGTATCGGAGTAGCATCATAGAATTATTTCATACATTTGTCTGCAAGATTTTATTGTTACTATTGAAAAAAACTTTTAATTTCCAAACTTCTGAACGCTAGTATAGCACTGTAATCTCTGTAATTAAATCATGAAATGTTTACACAGTACAAAGGGCAGCTTCAGAATCAATATTTTCTCTGATATAAAACTTGTTTGTCGCAAAATTATAAAATGATAGTACACTACAATTTCATAGGTTTCAAACATTGTGTAGGTTGTAAGTAAAATATGACCTGGCTGAAATGGACCTGCCAGATTCACTCAGTTATTTTGCGATTTCATGTTAAATGCGCTTTAATTTATTTTCATTTTTTTAAACCTGTGACATCCCGCCCCGCTTTCGTCCTCTCGGCATTCACTGCTAGTAAGGGCAGCCAGACTTAGTTCTAAAATTTGACTGTCTGAGACACTCAAATCCATTATAAAATGCTCAATATACCAACATATGCGTATAAAATTTGTAATTGTTTACATTGAGAGTCAGATAGTCAAATGTGATGCTACAGCTATTGATAGGTGTTTTTTTAGCCCTCCCATTTAATCTGATGACCAGCTGACACTGGCAGAAAACTTGACAAGAAATGACAGTGAATATTTAATATAACACGAAGTAGCTTTTCAAGGCAATTTATAATATTTCAGCCTGCATAATTTTTTTACTGATACTGCAAATGATACTGAAAGTCTTCAATAGTAGTACTTCTCATTCATGAACCTGCCTCTATAATTAAGTGATAACTTTATGGAGGGGGTTGCCTAAAAATGCTGAACTTGTGATTTACCAGTGAGAGATAGACTGGAAACACAGAAAATGAAGAGAGTAAGATTAAAACAAATAGAGGAGTCACCACTTACACTCTGTTTCTGATGGGTCAATGTAGCATGTTAAATGGGTGAGAAAGTGAAGATGTGAGGCTGAAACAAAATTAGAGTGAGAGAGGACCAAGTTAGAGAGAAAAAAGGCGAGAAAGTGTTTCGGGAGGAGTTACGCACATAAACGAATGGAGGCGAGACGCCCAGGCCGAGCGACAGTGACAAACCGAGAATGACGGAGGAGAGGAGGTGTGGAGATGCTGCCAAAAGGGGTGCTGGAGTGATGGAGTGATGTGCAAAGACAGAAAGGAACAAACTGCAAAAACAGATGGGAAGAGACAGAGAGTGGCAGACTCCGATAAACAAGCAGAAATGACTGGTAGAAGGACTAGACTAAACAAGTCTAGCACTGTCTGGCACCCAGAGAAAAAAAGGGTGACTGTAACACAAACTCTAGAACTGTACAGCTAGGAGAAACAGGTGTAAATGAAGACACGTTCATGTAACATGTTCAGAAGACATGTTCAGAATGTAACAACAATATTAACCAATACACCAATATTTTAAATAATTCTGAAGATGATAAATAGCAATATTACCCCTGGAAAAAAAACATTACACAGAACACAAACACAGTTGGATAACGGGAGCGTACCTATGTTCCCAGGGTTCTACGTTCCCTGGGCTTTATGCTCCCAGGGCTCTATGTGCAGCTCTTTTTTAATAAATCATACCTAAAAATGATTGAAAGAACCTAAGTGTTTCTAAGATGGTTCACGTCATGGAGTCAACAAATGTCATGGTCACACTGGAAAACACGAGGAACAAATTTTATATTTTCAATTGGACGGTACTTTGCCTTAGCTGGCAAGCACCAGTGAGCTAATTAGCTAGCTAAGCAAACTGTAATTCAAACCATTGTTTGAGAAGTAAGAGTGTAGAATGTGTAAAATTCTACACTATACAAGTTCTGGGGATTTGGTACAAATGACTAATTGCACGCAACATGCGGAAGAACATTCTGTAACACTGGTTGAGAGCGAGCACGATAAAAGAATATTCAAATACAGTCAAAGACAGTCAAAACTTGGCAAACGATGACTTCCGAGGATGTAAGTGGATTATCTACTACCTTATCATATCTTCATCAGCACAATGTTGATTTTGCATTTGAGACCCAAACACCCAGCCGGACCTTCTTTTTGAGCCTGTGTGTGTAATGTTAATACCCAAAGACATACGGTCTGGTCCAAAATCTCCTGCGAAATCCAACCCAATGACTATGACTTTTAAATTTCTATTTCAGTAATGCTATTTAAGTTTCACAGGGTGACTTGCAGCAGCACACACACACCATACGTTGGCTTAATTTTGTTCTGTCTCAGTAATACTATCTATTACAGTTTAAACAAAACACTTACATAGATTAGCTTTAAGACCCGAATAACAATATTATTCAAAAACTGGCACCTCAAACGGTTAACTGAGCGCTTGAGTACCTGTCCAACTCCTTACTAAGGGCTGGCAAACATAGGGCTATTTCCTAGATATTTCCAAGATAAAATAAAAGCCAGAGAACACAGAACCCTGCAAACATAGGGATAACCGCTGCATTGTTCGGTCAAAAATTTTTGTATGGGGGCCCATTATCTCTTTTTTTTGCATATAGCTAAACCACTGTCTGCAAACAACACTGTAAAGAACATACCCATCAAAATCCCAGCAGGACAAAACTTTCAATACAGACAACACAGAGCTAGATTTCCCATCTTTAGCCAACCCAGCTGGGCAGAAAGATATAAACAGATATAAACAACAGCAGCAGCCAAGATAATAACAGCCACCACAGTCATTGTCAGGGAAAGTAAACAGCCAGCACCCATAACTCAGCAGCCACAAAATGGCCGCTGCTGGGGTAGCCATGGTGACACACACCATGCGCAGGTAGTTCATGAGGCTGGTGCCATGTTGCCAGATGAGTGAGGAGGTGCAGCTGAGAGGCTTCACTCCAATCTCCTGACTCCGATTCAGCTCCTGCACCGCCCCAACCACCACGTGCACCGCGTCAAACATCAGGGCCGACGACAGCTGTGCAAAGGGAGAGATACAAAAAGTAAGGGTAGAAAGGCAGAAGGAAAGTGAGGATGTCCTTCCTGTGACAGCTGATAGTAATGATCTGTATTTAGAATCACTACATGATGTTAAGTTTGCATGTGAAGTTAAGTTCATTTTTAAAACGCAAGAAACTACTAAAAATGACACAGGAAGTTTCCTGAAACTCAACACACATTAAGAATGTGAAGATCTATGAATATGCACAATTTTGCAAATTGTAAAGCTTGCTGCCCTGTTTCTAAACCCTGCTTCTTCACCCACTCCCCTGCATGCTTTCTCTATCTATGTTACAAACTGAACAGGCTGAGATGAGTCAAAGCAGAAACAAAAATAAGCTACTACTGTAACATGAAAAATTAGAAATTCTATCTTTTTGTCACTCCAGCAGCAGTCACTCCATTTCTCCTGCTCAGATTCTGCAAGTTTATCCTCTAAACTTGCCTCAGTGCAGAGCCCAAATTGCTGGAGGTTTAGTCTTTTCACTAAGCTATCGTGAGCCTTCAGTGCTACAAGCATATAAATGAAAAGTTCACACACAAAAGCAGACTTATCCACTCAGATTTGAGTCTTTATTCTCTACACTTGTGCCAGTGAAACTTCAATTGAGCCAGAATTAACCTGCATGGTTATTTGTAAAGCTTATGCCTTCTTGCTAACGCCAGCTTCTAGCAAACATGGAGCAAAAGTAGCTCAGGCCAACAGCTACACACACAAATACACTGGTTTACTCAGATTTAAATCATTATTCTCAAAGTACACATCAGCAAGGCTTCAGTGAGCAGGACTGAATCTTTGCTGTGGAGAAATGGTTGCATGTTAAGCTACTGCAGTAGCATGCTACCTGGTACTAGAATAGTGCCAGGCCCTGGTGAGAGGCGGCATGAGGCTAGTGCCCAAGCCCCAAGGACCAACAAGAGCTGCGGGAAGTGGCATCAATACCATAATTGACTTCCTGCCACTAGGAAGCCACATCTAGAGATGCGGCTGCCAGACCACATCTCATGTTTGACCCCAGTGGTGTTGACATGAAACAATTTCTTGAGTAGGAACAAATGAGAGTGGATTCTTCCTAAAAGCACCCAGATTATTCTCACAAGGAGATGACTGTACAAGTTTACATTTGCATAGAAGATGCTATAGCAGCTCTGTCACCATGGAAATATTCCAAATGCAGGTCTATAAATAAATATTCCTGGTAACATCAATTAACCCTTTACATCTCTTTAATCCAGGTATTTCATGTATGCCTATTTTGTAAATGGCTCCAAACAAAGAGCTAAAAATGTCCTGTTCATTCTAATTCTATAGAGAAGAGTAGACAGAGGCACAGACAGAAAGGAGGATTGATTGAGAGGAGAAGACATTAGCTGGAGTGGAGAAGCAAAGAGAGAGAGCAAGAGAGGGGGAGAGAAAGACAGAGAGGGTGAGAGAAAAGGCATTAGTGAATAACTGAAAATAACTCTTCACGCCTGTAAAGGCCTGCAGCAGTCACTCTCTTCCAGACTGTCTTATAGAACAACTCAAATTTCTCAATTTATCTGACATATCAAAACCACGTGTGTTTTTTTTTAAGCATTAAGAGATTCCTGTAGATGCACAGTATGAACCATGCATGACTATACGAAAATAGTTAAAATCATGCATAATATTAATTCCAAAGATCAGTTTGTTTCTGTTCAACTGAAATACAGTTTTACATATATTTAATGATAAATGTATCAAAAAAGTTTGTTTGCAGAAACAACCGAATTGACTGGCTACAACTTTTTTTAGGAAGCATTAAATGAAAGCAGTGTTGAGGTAGTTACTAAAATTAACCCATTACAAATCAGACTAGAGTCAATTTTGAAAATCTCTGTAACTACTTTTATAGTTCTTTTTCCCTGTGCATGAAACTAAGTCTGCTGAATGCGCCTCAAGTTCAATTTATCCAATAAAGTTACTCTGCAGTAGGGTCCACCCACCCAGTCTCTATGTTAATACATGCTAAAACACAGTGTGCTGGGAAGGTAAAAAATAGCCAAGAAACTCCACAATCAGCAAGAAAAGTTGTGGTCTGCTTTGTAATTTTCTTGGCATTCGTTTGGATATCTAGTCTACTTATTGTAATTTATTTTTCCAATTTTGGGCTCAGTCTCATAGTTCCAGTAAAGGGTAAAGTTTTTTTCCAGATTTTTAACTATTTTACTATTTTTAATTAATTTTAACGTTACATATAAAAACTGAGTGTCAGAAGACACATGTAGGTTCACCGGACATTATTAACATTAAATAAAATGGCTATTTTTACATGATAGACATTGCAACCCCTGGTTCCTATCACCACCACTGTCAAATGTTTTCCCACAATGCATCATTTCAAATCAAACCACTCTGAATTACATCTCAACAACTAAATGTTTCAGCAAATTTGAATAATCGTCGGAATTCCCAAGTAGATGTTAATATTTTGATTTGAAAAGCATTTAACCTATGATGTGTTATACTGCTTTGTCTAAGCACATTACTGTAACACGCAACGCTGACTAAAAGGTTCTTTGGTGTAAAAAAAAGTGTTTTTCCATGGCATCACTCCAATGAACTCTTTTTGGCGCCTATGATAATATATTTGGGACCAAAGTGTGTTACCTTACTTAACATGCAAGCAGAACACAATCCTGTCTAAATTTCATGAAGGTGTGTGCCGCCACAAAACAGGGAGCTTATGCTCATCGCATGTCCCTCGTGTATTGCAGTGTCTGTGCTTGTTTGTGCGCGTGCACGCATGCATGAGGCTCACAGCTGGACCAGGGTATGGGCTGAGGTCACATCCTTCTCTCCAAGACAGATTGAGGCTCCTGATGAACTCCAGATAGAAGGGATGACTGCTGTTCAACATGGAGAATCCTACAATGTTGGACTGTTCATCTACAACATCATCCAGCCTCAACAGTGGGAAATCCTTACATAAGCAGAGAGGATCAGAGGTGGACAGAGAGAGAAAAAGAGACATTTATTTACTACATTTCATTAAATGCAAGGACTACATTTCACACATATTAGGATTTCATTAGTAGCCAGGTTATGACAATATTTCAAGTACAAATGAGGCCTGAATAAGCACAATCTGATCAGAAATTAACTATTTGGTTATTTTTGAAACAGTGTTTTTTTTCCAAGTAACAACCTCAGTCAGAGTTTTACATTTTATGTAATGCTACTCCTAGCAGATTCTTTGAGTTTGGGAAGCCTTTTCCATATCCAGTTTTATTAACATCTAAAATCATGCACTAACCAATGTCCCAGCATTGTTACCCCCATACTAAAAATGTTTTTTAAAGGATTAAACCCTTTTTGGTGGCTTATTATGTTTGTATAGATTGGTATTTGTGCTTGTTTTGATTGCATTATACTGCACACATTTTTCCATTGAAAACACAGGCTTTCTCAGCACTTCCATAAAAATGATTAATGGGGCACTATGTCGGTATTTCACAAATAAGCTCAAACCTTTCACATTCCACTAGACCAAAATATGCTAATGAGCTCTACAAATGTGGCAACAGCAAACATACAGCTACAGAACATGCCTGCGCTAACATATTTTACTTAACATCTGGCCAGTGGAGTTAGCTAAAATATATATTTACCAACAATGCCCAGAGGAAAAAAATCTAAATATTCTAGAACATTTTAAATGTGCCAAAAACTCCTCAATTTACTCCTATTTCTGATGTTCAAACCCTGAGATTAAAATATCCTCATAATTTAATTAGTTTCTCATAGGTCTATTCTACATCTCACATGTTAATCTCTTTTCTCCTAAGTGGGGTTTAGGAGAAAGAATACCAGAATCAGTGAACCTTCCTTAATGCAATATTGAGATCTGCTCCATCTCTCCTGAGACAACCTTAAGAAATACACTTTATAGCCAAAAGTATGCAGATATTCCTCCTAACTACTGAGTTCAGGTGTTTTAGCCACACCCAAGCGTATAAAATTTAAGCATATAGCCATGTAATCTCCATAGACAAACACTGGCAGCAGAATTGGTTGTGCTAAAGAGCTAAGTCACTTAAATGTGCCACTGTCATATGACACCTCTGCCATAAGTCAGTCTGAAATCTGCCCCGTAAATTTCAACCACAGCTCAACCACGAAGCAGCGGACAATGCAAACACAGAGCAGGACTGCCATGTTATGAAGTCTGTAGCGCATAAAATTTTCTGTTGCATCACTCACTACAAAGTTCAAAACTGCCTCCAGAAGCAACATCAGCACAAGAACTGGGCACTTCATGAAATGGGTGTCCACGGTCGAGCAGCTGCACAAAAGCCCAAGATCACTATGCACAATGCCAATGCCTTAGGCTGGAGCAGTGGAAAAGTGTTCTGTAGAGTGATAAATCACACTTCACTGGGTTTGGTGGATGCCCACTGGAATGCACAGTGCCAATAGTAAATTTGGTGGAGGAGGGATAATGGTCTGGGGCTTTTTTTTTTCCAATTTTGGGCTCAGTCTCTTAGTTCCAGTAAAGGGTAAAGTTAATGCTACAGCTATTTCCCAACTGATGAATCAGCATTCCAATATTACCGGTCGATATGAGCTAAATGCAGATAAATCGGTACTGGCATTTATAACGGCCGATAGATGACAATTTAAAAACAAAAGGGATAAACGGAAGACAGATCCTTAAACCATGTTGTGAGTGTTGCCACTGTGTGGTTTGTTCATCAGAGGGCACTATGCAACTTCTCTGTTGGCAACACAACAATCAGCTAACCCAAGCTGAGTGGAGCAGGTGGAGATAATCTGCGTTCATGGTAAATTGATAATTGTCATGTAAAATAAAAATATTCCCATCACTTCTTCTAAGTAAGCCTGGCAACATTCACGTCAGCTATGCCTGCTTTTGCTACAGTAACATGCCAAATTGTGCTATCTTGTCGAAACATCCCACTGTAGCACATATTTATAGGTAGCTCTGTAAGCTTAAATCACCTTATCAAAAAAATCCTTCCAGCGATAAATCTACAAAGCGAAGTCAGCTTCTTATTCTCCAGCTTCTTGTTCGAATTTTCCCATTTCACGTTTAATGGTGCTGCAGTTACAAAACTAGCTAATGTTATGTTCATCAGTGGAAAACAGCTAATGTTAATGAGCAGTTAAAACTATAGCATTCAACTCATTCTGCATAAATGAAAAAAAAAAGATATCAGGCAACATATCAGATTTTTTGTACGATGAACAGCCAATTACTTGAAACATCAGAAGCAGTTCAGCAGCTTTTTTTTAAAAAAATAATAAATAATAAATAAATAAGGAATAAGAAATCTCTGTAAATATAAAGTGAAGCATTCATAACAGTAAAAAGCTTTGTTTGACTGCTTTATATTCACAATATCTATGTAGTTTGGTTTGTTTCCTCTGCTTAAAAGTGACATTCTTTATGTGTCTGACTACAAATGTCACAAAGAAAAAAAAAGGTTCAACCTCCGTGAGTGCCTGATTGGTCCAAGAGCTGTTTATGACATGCTCTGGAGCAGGCTGGACATGCAGTTGACATGCAGCTGTCATTGTGCTTTATTCACCAACGTTGCTCCTTGGCATTTTGTTGTAGTAAAGTTTGCCAAAGATAAAAGGAAAAAATGCAGGATAGAGTGGAGAAGAGAGGTTTGTACAAGGGAAGCCGGCATTACTGATTTGCATAATTATCTGCACATTCTTCATTCATTCATTCAAGGTTTAGTGATGTTTAGTTAGTTTCTAAGACATAACGAAAATTAATAAAAATATTCAACAATTTATTATTCCACATAGATAAATTTAAAATTTTTCAATGACAAGTTTAGGTGCATTTTAAACACATCCTTTTTTATGTATGTATATGCATGAAGCAATAATAAGACTTACAGGGAATGAGGAGGATGCACACAATTTCTTTAGCTTTGTCCCTACACCCAGCCCTTGCCACGGCTCATACTCATATACTCACATTTAGGACCTTCACAGCTTGGCTGAAGTTACCCCTTAGCACTGAACTTGGACCAGCTTCCAAGGTCTGGACTTAAATGTCATCCATTATATAAGAAATAACAAAAATCTGGTCACAAATCAGCAAAGGGCAACTTAAGCCACTGACAGAAATCGTCCAAGGGCCAAGTGTTGCTGCTAACAGCCACGCCATCATTATACAATTCAGCTAGTAGTGGCTGTACAAAACCACTCAGCTGCTCATTGAAGAACACATGACCTAAAAATACGAGCTATGAATTTAGCAATAGGAAGTCGCCTCAAACAAGGGCATATCCTGCTATGGTCATGATTATGATAAACTGCACAGACCTATCATGCATTTCTGATGATCTGATTGGACAACAGCCAGCCCTGCTTTGGCTCCCTGCTGGAGGATTACGAGTAGAGAGGAAGAGTGTCACTGGTTGAAGGGGAATGTAGGCGTGGTGTCTTACCATTGTGGTCAGGATGTACTTGTAGAAGGCTGATGTCATACCTAGCTCAGATGCCTAAAAAGAGAGAGAGAGAGAGAGAGAGAGAGAGAGAGAGAAAGGGGTTGAAAGAGGGAGGAAGGGGGGGTGGAGAGAGATAGAGAGAGAGCGAGAGAAAGGGAGAGAGAGGGAGAGAGATGCATATAGATACAAACAACACAACAGTTTTAAGGTATCTACAAATACAGCAAATTATACATACAGACTAAAGCTTAACATTTTTGGAATCACCATTCATTTGGATTGTTATATTCTAGGCTTCATTCTCAGGAACGGTTTAACTGATAGACATGGTATATCACAATAATTATCAGAACTGACGTGGTTTTATCGAAGCATTAACAAGAAAGCCAATACGGAAAAAGATCCAAAAACCACTCCTTATTCAGATACATCTACCTCAGGGTTAATTCTTCTTAAATCACCAATGCACAATTTCCTTCGTGTGTCTGAGAGCAAGTGCACCTTGTGATCCAAATCACTATGATTCCTCAAAGCATTAAAAAAAAATGAAGGAATTTATTATGTTTACATTTATTTATTTATTTGGAATTTAGTTTAATATTTTATTGTTTTTGAAGTGTGTTTCATTAAATAGTTAAGCAGTTTAAAAAATAAATAGTTTTTAAAAATGATTCTCTCTGCTTTTATTTTAAAATCATTTAGTCAGTTATAAGCAGTTGGTCACAGTCTGTAAAGAACTGATCATGTGTACTCCCGGTTTGTTGGACTGAAAATCTGCACACACACTGGCCCTTTGCACATAAGACTGGACATCCCTAGATCCCTAGAAATAGATAATTACTGTATATTATTTATAATTCAATGACTTATTTATGCTCACAAGTTACCTTCAATACTGGAAAAAATAATCTTGAACTACCTTCTTATGTCTAACTTATAGTCCTTAATTCTAAATTGCTTAAGTTCAATAATAAAATCACATCAATTATTCAATGGGGATGCCTCAGGGACTGCAAGTCCTTCAAAGATCCAATTATTCTGTAAAAAAAAAAAATACTAGAATCCCATAGATGTGCTACAGAAAATAAGATTATCACAGAGTAGTTTCTAACATTTTTGGCCTGAACTGAAGGCCTAGCTCTAATTGTCAAGGTTTGCCACTGCAATTTATTAATGACAAGTGATTTAAAACTTTTGAACAGTAGTGTATACAAATGCAGTATCTACACATTTCGGTGTACTGTAAACTGTGTGCCCATAAACTATTAGCTGAACTACACCAACTATAACTTATGGTTGGCACATGTTTTCTTTGATCGAATGTCTAATATTAGCCCTTGACCTACTGCTGAGAATTTCTGACTAGTAATAACAATAATTTTGTCGCTGTATATCAAATGCACTCTTTACCAGACTTGAGTAGTAGTTAGCAGAAAAGATTTGTTTTTGATTGCTGCCAGATGAAAAACATAAAATTATTGTATTGTGACAAGCCTGAGCCAGCCATTTCTTTTCTACTATTACACTTCTAACATTCCAGTCATTTCACATTACTATATTATGTTACACATTATTATATGTAACACAAGATAAAACTAAACAGAGTCTTTAAGATGCCATTCAGCCAAATGAATAATGATGAAATCTCTAAACTGGTTGAAATGAACTGACGAGCAGAAAGTCACACATGCATGCATCAGCAATGAAGATGCTAAGGTGTGTGTCTGTGTAGTATATTGAATATGTCTCCACATAACTAATGATGAGTATGTGTGTAAAGAATTTTAAGCACAAGGAAAGTGATGGATGCCTCCATGTAACTGATGAGTCAGCATGCACGTTTATGTACCTTCTTTAGTATGAGTATAGATACTGAAGCGTTGGCATCAATGATAATTGTTGCTACTTTATCATCACGGATTTCCTTCAGCAAGGGAGTGGGGTCCAAGCTGTCGTCAAGCATCCTCACTGAGAGTGTGTCCCGGGAGATGAGGAAGTGGCGTACCAGCTCCTCCAGTCTAAGCAGGCCTGAGTCAATGCAAGCCAGGGTCAGTGCAAGTTCAATAACATAGGCAAATTTTTATGATTTTATGATATTCTGTGTGTATTTCTGAGTGACTGTTCATGGAACCTCTTCATTCAACGATAATCCTGTTTTGCAACTGTGTTTCATTACTGATATTAGTCTGAAGTGGGGTTCTGTACCTGTATAAATTTTCTAATTCAAGACAATAAGGCTGTAAGATACGCAACAAATTAATCAATTAAATTGACAATGTCAATAATAAAAAAAAATGTTGTAAAAAAATCTTGTTATCAAGATTATGGTTCCCATCTAACATTAAGAGAATATACAGATAGTGGACACTTGGCTGTCCAGTTCAAAAAGTCAAAAATGTTATGCATAGGTAGAAAACTGCATCCATGTCCAAAGCCCAACATTGTCGGTAAGATAAAACTAAAAACCTAAAATATTGTGTCATTGTCTACTTCTGGCTAGCTCTGTTTTTTCACAGGTTGAAGGGATGATTTTTTTTAACCAATTTCCTCCCCAATTTAGTCTTTTTTTGGTCGATTCCACCTACTAGTTAGGACTCCCCCAGTCACTCCATGCTAGCAAGGGTGAATGTTTGCACATACTTCCTCCAAAGCCAGCTACTGCATCTTTTTAAACTGCTGCTTACATCAGTGGAGCAGAACATTAACACAGATGCCTGTGTTGGCTAGCTTTTGATGGGGAGAGTGAGGCCAATTATGCTTTTTTGGATTCCTGGTCACAGAAGACAATGCCAGGCATCAAACTCATAATCTTCTGGCGATAGGACCACTTAGACAACTGCACCGCTCTGGATCGCTTGTTCGTCTAAACTGCACAGCTAAATTATGACTTTCTGTTGCTATTATGCACTTACTTCAGTTGCATACTGAAAACATAGCTCTTTTACATAAAAACAGTTTAACATTTTTGTTTTGCCAAACATCTTTACTTTCAAGGTCAGTTAATGTCAAGAGATTTTATTCCAAAATATTTTGTAGCATTTCTATCAGTTCATTCATCATAAAATTTTAACACAAAGTAAAGGAAAAACAGCTGCTGTGTTCAAATGATGTAAAAACTAAAATTGAAAAAATGGTGCCAAGTCGTGCCAAGTGCGGATAATTTATTTATGAAGTCACGTATAAACTAATTTTGTTTCATAGAACAGTGCGGTTCTTCTGTTTGCCTTGTGTTAAGTAAAATTCTTAATTTAATTACATGACTTTGAAAGAACGAAAGAAGTAATCGAAAAGTAAGGGAGAGAAATCAGATGTTACTTTAAAATAGTTACTCTTTTGATTACGTTACATTTTTAACAGGTAATCAGTGATCTGTATATATTTTATATTATATTATATATATTTATATTTTCAAGGTAACCCTCCCAACCCTGGATCTGAAATGGAACACAAACGAACACGACCGTTTTGGTACAATTTGGCCATTGATGGGGGGCTGAGTGATGTCACTGATCAAAAAATTTAGGCTGTATAACCTGAGAATTAAAGTGTTTCTTTTAACAGCAACATGGCACAAACAAATGAGAGCATTTTGGAGTGATCTGGCCGCTGATGGGAGGCTGAGTGACATCACAGGTTATTAAAATGGGGCAGTCATGGGCTGGAGGTTAGGGAACCAGCCCTGTGACCGGTTACCGGTTCAATCCCCTCGGCTGATAGTCCATGACTGAAGTGCCCTTGAGCAAGGCACCTAACCCTCAATTGCTCCCCAGGTGCCATGGATAGGGCTGCCCACTGCTCCGGGCAAGTGTGCTCACTGCCCCCTAGTGTGTGTGTTCACAAGTGTGCATGTGTGTGGGTGTTTCACTGCATGGATGGGTTAAAGGCGGAGGTCTAATTCCACAGTGTGCAAAAACAGTTGGCTGATGGTTCTGAAATTAGAATTAGACATTAGAAGTGACATTCCATTTCTCAAAAATGGTACCAGCACAATGATGATTCTTCCAGCACAAACTAAGAGTTATATTTTGATTTCATTTCTGACCATGTGGGGTGCCAGCCTCCCAGAAGTAAACAATCCCTGTATTTTTCATGTTTAAAAACAAAAGTTGTGTGTGATGTTAAATATTTAATATTAATTATTGACACATTAATATCTATACTTTTTCTTTTCCCGATTCAAATCAAATAATCAAAATGAATGGACCAATTAATATGGAAATAATCATTACACAGTTCGCAGCAACAATTTCCCTCTTAAATATCTTTTTTCTTGTGATAGTATTAGCCTTGGCCAGCAGTTTGCATGCAAATTTAGTGAGCTATTTACTCACATTACTTAAATAATGTACTTTTATACCACTGCCTGGTAATGTTTCCTTTCCTCAAGCATCAAACTTTAATCTTATTTAAGAGGCATATTTGTGCTGTAATGATACACATACTTTCCTATTTCCAGTTTCTGGAAGTTTTATATACATGGCCAATGCTTCTGAAAGCTTTTGAAGCATCTAAAGCATTTAAAAGCAAACGTTCAAAGTAATGCTCACTCTACAGACTAATGATGCTCTGTGCTCCAGCTCTCTCAGTAAACTCAGTCAAGCGCTGTTTTATTCTTCTCTATGAGGCCTGTGCAAAGAACCAGTCATGACTAGATTCCAACTCAGTTTAATGATGCCTTGAAATGTCTTCTCAATTAGATGCTGAACGAATGCAGAAAGAGGTACTAAGCATCCATGTACAGTCTTTAGGGGCTACTTTAGATGTCTTTTAACCATGCAGACCTTTTATAAACCTTCATATGGTCAATTACTACAAACCATAACCCGATCCCTGCCATACTCCTGTAAATTAAAGTCAGTGACTACTGAAGTGAAGTGACTTTGAGTGCCAATAAAGGTGATTCTGTATGTGCATAAATTTGTGGGCTAAGCCATCACAAAATCCATATGGCCAGTTTATTGAATTTGGACCGCAGTCAACAAAGTAGCACAGTGCATGCACAACTACGACAAAAGGGAAAAATCCAGTCTCTTGCATGTACAACCAGCGATGTAAAAACAAACACACACTCACAAACAAATATATACTTATATCTACACAATCACATGCACACCCACAACTCAGTGAGCTCTTATACATTCAGCAGTAAAATCACATAAACAACCACACAAACTGTTCCAAACACTGGTCTACACAACACACTCACACACAGAGTCCTGATTAATTGAGTGGAAAACAGTGGGATCAATAGAGACAGATGCCTATGAAGCAGTAAACAGTAGCGCTTAGAACATTACCATCGCACGCACCCGACCTTGGGCTGAGCCTGTGCAGTGCGGGGAAGAGCAATCTCATCAGTAAGCCATAAAAAGAGCTCTCACAGAAAAGATGACAGCAACTCATGTACTGACAGGAACTACATGGCTAACTTCACAGAGTCATGCTACTTTAATGCATCATCCACTGCTGTGTTGGCTAATGCCTTACATGACGGGCCTCTTTCCACTGTAACATTAATAACCACAACAAGGTTAATGACTTTAACTCCAAAATCTTCCTTAGACTAGGCTGCGGCAGAGGAAATAAAGAAATCCCAGGGCAAAATTATGCCATAGGCACAACTACAGCAAAGAAGTGTGTAATAAAGGGTAGAATGACAGTGGAGACAACAGCCGGATATTCTTTGTAATGCTTTCTGTTCTTTAACCAATATTTATTGTGGCAAAATATTATGACCACCTGCAATGGACTCTAGGAGACATCTGAAGGTGCCCTGTGGTATCTGGCACCAAGGCATTACCAGCAGATTCTTTAAATTCTGTTAGTCGCGTGGTGGAGCTCGTCTGGATTAAAGTTCACATAGATGAACTCAGCACAAAACTAAATTTAACACTCCCAGAAAGGAAGAACTTTTTTACGTTCTCGTGTCCAAACATCTCGTTAGTGAACCCATTATTGTTCTACAAAAAATTTAGAGAGTAGAGCATATCTTCCTGCCTTTTTACACCTATCTTTACCTAATCACTGTTAAAGCTCTCCTTTGATAATCATTCATTTTTGTAAAAGATGCTATCCTCACACCAATGTTACGTGGCCTCCGTCAGCTGCATGCTGCTATGAGGCACAGAATGACAGCTCTTTCCACGCCAGCATCAAAACATCATCATTAAATATATAGAGTTGTTGTCACTCCATAGTTTGTCACCTGTCATTATAATTGGAAAGTAGCAACCTTACCTGGTGATGTCATCACTATATATCATGTTAGTTTTCGGATAAGTGACCTTGAGTTTATGAAAACAGCTATAAACAAAATTGCTACTATTATAACTGCTATTATCAAATCATCAGAATATAGACATAATAGAAAAAACTGACATAATAAGGAATGAGAAATTATAAAAAAGAATAAAAAAAAGTTAAATGGACATCATACTTGGCTCTAATCCATTCACTGATTAAACCTCTATTTACCAAAATCTTAAACGTACCCACTGAATGTTTAACCACTGTTAAGTACATTGAACAGGAAGGACAATAAACAAATAACAATGAAAACTGATCTAGAAGAGAACAATGGTGCAAACAGCTGGTACAGCTGGAACTGCTGGAACACGCCCAACAGACTTACACTCAGCCTTGGCACAGATGAGGCTGGCTGTTGGGTAGCTAAAGGATCGAAGAATGGCACCGATTGCCAAGCTCAGGTCTTCGTTGCTGGGATACAGCGTCACAGAGGCAAAGCGGAGGTATGGCAACCGGGGAGTCTCTTCAGGACCGATCTTTATATGAGGGATCTAGGAAGGGGATACACAGAAGGAGAGGAGAAGCAAGAGATTGGCAGAATAGATTTGTAACAGGATTAGATGAGATTCATTCTTTTGTCCTCCAATTTTCTTCTGACATCAGCCTAAAACCAATACCCACTGATACATATATACCACCTCTACTAGCACCACATAAAAGTTACAGATTAAATACATTAAATTAGATTAACAAAGTATGCAGAGGAACCAAATTCTCATGACATCTATTTATATGTGAATGTTAAAACACAAAAACAAACAGTATAATCAACAGGAATTTGTGGATACTTTATAGGGAAGATAGATAACATTAATGAAATGTTAATGTATATGAGAGAATTTAACAAAAAACTAAGCACAGCTGCACACCTGACAAAGACTTTATGGCAGCTCAGTGTGCATGTGGTGCATATTCACTCATGCAGTTGCCCTCTATTTTAGTTTGTAACAATAACGCAATATGTCAGAGAATTAATGCACAAACCAAAAGATGGAACATGGTATAGGGGGGTATTAGTGGGAAGCTTGCTTGTGAAGGCACCGTTAAAGAACATATTTTGAGCAACATATAATACCTTCCTGACAATCTCTTTTTCAGAGATGTCCATTCCTATTTCAACATGATCAAGCCACATTCTGCACATGTTAAAAAAGCAATTTAATACAGGTTCAACAGAATTCACTAATCACTGCTTTCTGTTTTTATTAGCATTTCACATACTGTCACAACTTTTTTGGAATTGGGTTTGTCCCATATAATACTTATAATAATATACTTTTTTCAAAAACTGTTGTGCTGCCCCATAAAAATGATCTTGCATAATTTCAAAAAGTGAATCCCCCAAATTTTCGCCAATGTGCACACATATGCCCACATAATCTCTCTCCTTCCCCTCACCTCTTTTTCCCCACATATATGACTAACGGTGGATCCGGAGGCCGGACTGGAGGCGGGGCCTATGACAGAAACCACGCCCTTTGGTAAGATCTGACACACTGAAAAATAAAGACAGAGATACACGTTTTACAGGTGCAAGAAAGAGAGAAAGAAAGAAAGAAAGAAAGAAAGAAAGAAAGAAAGAGAGAGATAGTGGGCAGAGGGAAAAAGAGAGCCTACATCTTGGAGGCAGTCCAATTCTGTCTGTGTTCTGTTCCTAGATGATATATCAAATTAGGAGTCAATGTGAAGCTCTTTTTGATTAATTACATCAATAAGCACAGTGAAGATTTATGCTTGGCCTGGTGGAGATTACTGCTCTCATTCTGGGAAAAGAGAAACAGTGTGTGTGTTACTTTCCCCTTTCAGACGCAAAAGTGTGTGTAGCTCTTAACTGCATGTGTGTGTGTCCATGTGCTTGCAAATCCCATGAGGAGACATTAGCATGCAATACAATAACGAAGTACATGCCACGACTCCCACATTCCTCCACCCTCCTACTATTCTAGCTGAGTAAACACGAGTGTAGGTCAATTAACTCTGCAGAATTATTATAGTTAGCCAAGATACCTACACACAATACCCACTGCTTGTGTACGCTGCTGTAACAGTAATCTTCAAAGAGGAATTTCACAGATTTTTTAAAATTTGTGCATAATTAAATGGATAATTAAGATGTGAACAAAGGTTGGATGTAATATGTGGCGTTCTAGAGAAGCGTGCAGAGTCAGAATGTTCACAGTGGTACTGATAGAAACCAGGTGTCTGAAGAGCTTAATGCCACTTAAAGCTACCTTATAGGTAGATTTTACATGAAATGGTTACACATACAATTTGTTTTAAATCCACAAACCACCGTGTCCTTAAATCCACAGTCTTCTGCAAGATAGCCAAAAACATTTGCACAGCACTGTCTGTGTGCGTCTATGTGCACTCACTTGTGTCAGTGGTTTCGTACTGCGAATCCCTCTGTAGCTCAAAGATGTCCACCTCCACACGGGCGCGAGCTGGTCCTTCCATCATGCTGTTGATGTTCTCCCGAGCGAGCGCCAGGGCCAAGCGCTCCCCACGCCCACATGCTGACTGGTCATCTAGAATGGCCGCTGGACAAGGAACACAGTGGGATAAAACCCAATTACAGATCCAAGGCCAAATGTCTGCTTTTAAGTATAGTGCAGGTAATATCATATCACCTCTTTTCCTTGAGTATGCTTTTACAGCTGTGTTAAGGGGCCAAACAAGCCTAAGAACGTTCTAAGTTGGTTACACTCAAGACTGGCTGCTCAAACCTGTTCTGGGTTTGAACTTTAATGTGTTGGAGGGGGTTTGCTAATTTTCTAACGTAAAAAACAATATTTTAGCATGATTAATAACTGTTCTATACAAGCAACCTATACATCTTTGCTACAAATGTAAACAAATGTAAACTTTTTTTCAAGCAACAGCAAATCACGTGACTCATGTGTCAGAACTATCGGCCAATCATGTGCCGTTGCAGAGATCAGCTCATCTGAGTATTGACAAGCGCCAGCTATTTGTTATCTTACATACTGTCTGCTCTCCACTCACATTTTGCGAAGTAATCTCATTCCTCTCCATACTGGGTGTTCTTTCTTGTTTGGTTTTGATTTTTGCATGTGTTTTAGGATGCATGTATTTTTTACTCAGCTCTTTTGTAGTTTTGGCTGACTGTTTTTCTCCCCTGTTAGATCTTGTCACAATTTTGTATTTTTTTCTGGTGTAACATGCAATTTTTTTCAAAAATCTTGAAATATTTAAATAAATTTCAGATTTTTTTACTATTTGAAATGTCCAACTTTAGCTTTAATGGCAGCATGCACTCAAGCAGGAACAGACTCCACAAGTTTGCGATGAGTAGATCAAATGCTGTTGTCTGAACTTGAGCTTCAATAGAAAAAAAAGACACAAAAAAACTCTGTCTTTCTTGTACAAAGGTCTTAATACGGTCAGTGTCACATGTTTGCTTGAATTTGCATAGTGACCTAGAAATTGTGCAGTATCCTGAATATTTGTTTTACTTGCCCCAGTACGGCCCAGATTTTCACCATGGTCTCAGACTTTTGGACCTCACTGTTTGATTAGTGAAAAGAGGCTGATGGGAGGCAGGCTACCTCTCTCTTTGAGCTGTTTACATGCTTCAAGATGCTATATTACAGGCACCAAGAGGCTGATTAAAATTGTGATGCATAAACACAACTAAATTGGAACACATAATGAAAAAAGTCAAGAAATATCTGTCAGATTGCTGTCAAAATTCACAGATGATGTTGCTATGTGAAGGTAAGCAAGAATCATGTTCCATTTGAACCTGTTTAATTAATCTATGTTAGTTTATCCTGCATTAGGTTGTGCACTGTACTCCTCTGATTTGCCAAAAGAACACTAGTTCAACACTGGCCTCAGCCTCAAACTATCATATATACAACTAAATTAATGTGTAGCCCATGAAGAATAGCAGCTGCAATGGGGGAAAGGGAACTTGTTTCAATATTGCAAAACTACACATAGTTGTGGCTGCACTGAAGCACCTTGGCTGAAAGAGCCTTCAACACAGCTAACAGCTACAGGTAAGATATTTCATTTATCAGATATAGTTTAGATGTGCTATTCATTCAGTTAAACAACAAAACTACATTTCAAACCTGCAAGCTAAATCATAGCGCTTAGTCTGGCTGCAGTGAGTACAGCCTTTTATTTTTTGATTTTGCTACTTGTTGTGAGCATCAGTCACTAGAAGCAGTGCCGCCCCATGCAGGCTACAAGGGCAGCACTGCTGGCTATGGAGACCTGGATAATATGACTGTTAGCAGAGTCATAAATAACTAGAGCCAAAGAGCAAAAATGTCCCCATATTCCACATTTTTGCCACTTATTACAGCTATACCATATAAAACAATGTATTATAGATGTGATAAATCAATATGAACCAGTTTATACATGTAATAAATCAATGTAAATGACACTTCACACATACCTTCACCCTCTGATCTTGACCTGATAGCATTAATACACTCATCCACAGCACATTCTATATAGCACTGAGAAATGGAAGTTAGATGACCTCAAGATTAAAATGGCAATATATTTGTATGTTTGCATTTCATTTTCCCACTCATATATGCAATCTCAAGCTCAAAATAAAAAACCAAATTCAGTACTGTGATTTTAATTTGCCATTTGGTATTCTAGTATTGACATTTCATTTACACAGAGAATTAGAAGCTTTATGAGTAGCTTTACCTGAATTAAAATGTACTTCCAGAACCGCATATGTACGCTTAATGTGATTATGTAATAACTGTCAAAATTACAATTAATCCTAATTTATCTTACATGCATTTTTACTGTGTAATGATGTATTTAAACTGCAATATTTCTGCCAATATTTCTTTAGAAGAGCAAAACAAAGCAAAATATTATTTTGTGAAAATTACTTTGTCTTTACAAATAAGAACAATCTTTAATTGAACATGGGGTAGATTTTCCTTTTTAATCAGCTGGTTGAAATGTTTGTCACTGTTAGCCAACCATAGGCTACAGATGTGACAGATTAATCCAGCATGAAGCGTTATTTTCTAACTTACATATGCAGCATTAGCCATGGATATATTGCTGTTCCACTCTATCTGTTACCAAAAATGTACTTATTTAGTTGTAATTGTACTGGTACACAATGACATGTGTAAATCACACAAGCACCTTGTCACTGTACTGTGTCGGTATCGTGTCATATTTCAACCGAATTCAGCTATGACATCTCTAATGTTCAGCTTTTTGTCCTTTTTAAATATTAACATTACAAAAGTCACTGGTATATGTGTGTGAAACACTGAGCTGGAACATATTACCCAGAATTAGAATTTTTTAAATTCAATACTGTAAACTGAATTTTGAGCTCAACACCGCACATTTGAGTGAGAAATTTAAATGCAAACACAAATACATTGCCATTTACATATTACACTTCCATTTTCATTTTCATACTAATATGCTTCCATAACTATCTAGCCAGCTTGACTAGCAATACAAACTAAGTTGGATGCTGCCTTTTGACAACCTTCAGATTTTTCCCCACATTTTCTCATTTATTAATTTATTGGGACAACAGCCAATCCACCTTTTGAACCACCTTATTAATTAAAAGTACAGTCTCTGTTTCAGTTCTGTATTTGTTTCATTAAAGTAGAAAGGAAACTGAAGCCACTGCTTAATTTGAACATTGTCTGCTCTCTCAGACTCTACTAGAGAAACCAGCTGGTCACCAACAAAATAAGCATATAGTCACTACCGGATCAAAAGCTTGTATCTCCAAAAGGTAACTTTAAAGGAAAAAGAAAAAGGAAAAAGAAAACACGTTCTTAACTTTTAATATTAATCTAGAATGTAATGTAAGTTACCGTAGAAATTCTTTATCCCAATTAATTTTGGATGAAAAATGACAAAAACAGAGATAAAAGCATTTGTCCTAACAAAGACAATAAGTCGTGTTTTGGATTCTATTTTTCTGGTCAGCAGCAATGCAAGCTGTTATGCTGGTTTTGGTGGTGATTTTTAGCATATGCTATGTTTGGACACTGGTATGCTGGGTGACCAGCCAAATCAGCGCCAGACCAGCATTAGACCAGCACCAACCAGTAAGTAATTGATGCCGGTCTAAGCTGTTTTCTTCAGCAGGGAAATCTGCTAGTATTGTGATTAAGCTATGTATTTTGTATTTCAATATTCGCCCACTGCATACAAAACACCCATGAACTCTGGGCAGTGACGGCAAAAATGGCCTCTTAAAAAATATTTGATATACTAACAAGCAGTGTCTGATTACTACCATATCTGAGAGATACTTCGAGCCAACAATTCAATTCTAGCTGCCCTACATCTTTGTTTGAATTAATAACAGTGGACACCGGTATGGGAAAGTGGTGTTAGACTACCTCTTATGCTGTGAGCCAAGCAAAAGTCCACCTTAATCTGTGTGTGAAAGAGAGGCTTACCTGAGAAATCCAATGTCAGTGTGCTTCACTTTTACTGCTTTGGGAAGAGATCAATGCCAAGACCTTTAGCTGTAGTTCTACTTCATTTGTAATCATCTCCATGCTATGTTGATGGTCCATTGACTGCGTTTTCATTGACTGTACTGTTGTTACAGTATTATTACTATGTCTTTTCTACTTTTTTCTTGCTTATGTCTGTCTTATTTCTTACTTATTTAATGCAAGACTACTGCAAGAGTCCCTTGGTGAATACAACTTATTGAATTAAAATAAACTGAATTCAATCTCAAGACTTACTTGCTTAGCTTTGACTATGAGCAGTTTTTCAGAGCGCTGATGGATGGGGAAGAAAATTACAGACCTTATGAAATGTGGTTTCCCATATCAATTTCTCTCTGCTCTGTTACCTAGGAGGCACTTAAGATCACAGACACTTACTCTGAAATAGCTGAAAGCTAGTTGAAAGCTGATAGCTAACTTGAAATAACTGAAAGGACAGGAAAAGCCATTTGGCTCAACCATAAAATAAGACTTCTTCAGCAAGAGCCCAAGACTGAGCAACAGGGTAAACTTGACATCCAGCTTATTTATCACAAGATTACTGCACTGGAAAGTCATAGTTCAGCCCCAGGCACTCGTTTGTGATATTTTTCTTTACTTTACAGTATTTATAGTATTTTTTATTCTATTGGAAAATACAGCATTTTCAGAAAAATAACAAATGAGTGGCATCCATGGGAGGACCCCATTTTCTTCAAATATAGACAGGTCTGCTTGAAGATCTTAGGCTCAGGACTGAATTTCTCTCTAGAAATACTTGTTACATTTGTCTTAAAGCTTTGTCTGCATGTTATGTAGGATGCCCAGCTTATGAGCCATGTACTTGGAATACCAAAATGTTTTCTCTCCCTCATACATACATAAAACATGGGAGGATCCTGTTGAAAATAAGTGGAGATTACATATTTAATTTTATTTACTAAAGATTAGGCAACTAGCTACAGTTTTGTGAGAAATTCTCTCTTCCTCTTAAAACCTATTCCTGTTTTCTAATTCAAAAACTGTAGTTTGTGAGACAAACTAAATAAAAATATATGAATTTCCAGTTTAGTTACATCATATATCTTACATATCAAATAAATGCAACAACAGCGTTGAGAAGGCATGTTATTAAAGAAAAACAGACTAAATGGCAAAAATGGTCATGTTTTATGCTAGCCTTAAATGGTTAGCAATGGCAGCAGTCATAGTGACGAATATTTACCAGCACTACGATGGCAGCACACCAACTGCAGCGCTGGGCATATCACTGCTATAAGCTATCCAGACAAAACAATAGCAAGATTACACATATTAATGAGAACACAGGCTAAAGTAAACCAACAACTAATGTAACATTTCCCTATAAAGTATACGTCTGCTTTTTACCCAAATGAAGATGACATGAATTCAATTTGACAGCTGAAATAAAGACAGAAAAAGGCAGCAAACTTAAGCATCTTAGCTCATCTGTACTGCCATGGCGATCATGGATTGTTTTTTTTTTCTCTGATGATTGTCAGGCATTCGGCTAGTCAACCAATGAACTACAATTCCCAGAATCCTCTGCCTGCTCACATGACACCGGACTTCACTTCCCAGAATCCTCCACCTGCTCACATGACTCCGGACTTCACTTCCCAGAATCCTCCGCATACTCACGTGACTCCGGAAAGGTCATCAGCGGCCTATCACCGCTCAAGTTCGCCTAAGTATTAATGATGTTCACCTGTGGGTTTATGTCATATGACTTACCTAGCTAGTATTTTAGCCCGGGCTATAGTTAGGTTCGTTGCAAGGTATTGCTTTCCATTGTGAAACGACTGAGTGTTGTTCCTGTTGTGATTTATCGTGTATGACCGTTTGCTTACCCTTTTTCTCGTTGACTTTGTTTTTGGATTTGCCCTTCTGTACTGTTGCCTGATTTCTTGGATTTTCGGTTTTGACTATTCGCATGTATTTTGGATTTTGCTCTGTTTTTTCCCTTGTCGGTTATGGTCGCCTTGTGTCTTCTGTTGTTTACTTTGGAACTGACCCATGCCTTTTTTTTGACGACGTTATACTTGCCAGAATCCTCAAGTAAAACTTCTTTTGTGTTTTATATCCGCGAGCGTCTGCTTACTGGTCAAACATTACAATGATGCAGATCACTGTTGACAAGGACAATACAACTTTTTTTTGGGCTGACATTGGTTTTATGGTTTTGCATTTACAGCTCCCCCAGGCATATCTTTTGAATATCTGGAGCTTTAAATTCAAAGTACATTGACAGGAACATAAGCTCAATGATAAACCTGAAAGCTTGACTGAAGTAATGAAGGATAATGAAACGGTTGCCAAGCAGTGATTAAAGGCGAAAATGAAGCGGTTGTTTAGGAAAAATGTGGAGAACGTGAGGATTATGACTGGCAATAACACAGTGACAAATTAGTTCATTAACTGTGTCGCTAGTGAAGTTCCCACCATGAGGCAAAACAGCTGTTTAAATGTTCTCATAATTGCTCACGAGGGCCCCCTGATCACATTAAGTCAGTTGTGTGTAGCAAATTTCACAGATGAACAATCATTCGATTAACTAGCTTAACTAACTTAACTAACTAATTTAAGCCCTATTCAAGCTGGATTAGTTTTACCTGGGGGGTAACATGAGGGATTACAGATGATATCCATGATTTTAATCTAGTACCAACGTAACGTGTGAATGACCGTCAATAATTTATCAAACTTAGAGCTCCTTCAGAAATAGTAGTCTTGTTCGAATCAACCTCACAATAATGTAATAACAAATCCTGGTAATGGACATCTGTGTTTTGGTGAGCAGGAGACGAGGCTAACCACTAAAATGAAGCTCTTGGCACAGTTCCAAACTGGACTACTTTATTGTAAAACATTTTTGGTGATGGCCTAATTAGAAGCAGAATGGAATATCTGAAAGTACTTTTAACATGGCAGAATGATTTCTGTCCTGCTGGGCAACAGTTTGTGAAGTTGAACGGGACAAGTTTACTGGCCTGAAGCTATTCTATCTGTTATTAACCGGAAGTTTGTTTTTGTTCTTTGTTTAGGTTAATTTTAAATCGAAGTGACGATCTGGGTTATGACGTTTTGATTCAGGCTAACTGGGATAATAATAAAAACTGGGAATCGGCCAATTGAATCCCTTACAAATGACATTATCAGACCACCTCTGATAAAACGAATCCACCTCGAATAGGCTTTATGTAGCTAACATTAATGACATAGGATTGAAAATTCAGCTAAATATAACATTGTTTGTAACTTTAAACTATTACATTTTTTATTGTAAAATTTAGAAGAGGGGTCATACAGCTCCCTTATTTTCTCCATCACAAATATAAGATTCTCCACATCCATTGCTGTTAAGGTGGAACATCATGATGCAGCATGTAAAAAACAGAAACAGGCTGTTTGTCAAAAATGGCCCATTGCACTGTACAGCACTGCTTGCAGCTGATATAGACAGCTCCATTGATTTTAAAATGAACGTTCTGGTTTTGCTATTGTTGCTCACTCTGCTTGCTGTTCGTATAAGGTGTCAGGGCCAGATGCATGTGTGAGCAGGCAAAGCACAAAATGTGCTCCCAGTCAGTATTATGGTTTCACTTATATTAGTATTATGGTATTGTGGCCTTCTTGCATTAAAGAAAAGAGTTTGACGAGATCTTGTAGCTTTGCAACTAACTGATGTGTGCGATAGTGTTTGGATTTTGAAAAGGGGATTGTGCTAAGGCCTTCTTCTGGTTCTGCTCAGTCAGAAAAGAGGTTTTTCTCACCCATCCTGACAGCGGCAAGGGCAGGTGCCTGGCTAAAAGAGGACGGGGCCATGGTCAGCAACAGGAAGAGGAATAGGAGGTGAATCGACAGCAGCAGCGCTGGCAGAGCCGGCATCTTCCACTGCTCCTCATGGAGAATGGTCGTCTGGCTGCCTGCACCGCCACCTACAGGACAGGTGGAGAGATTACACATCCAAGAATCAAAGAATTGTGTAATTCCAGAATAAACCACTTCATGGGAATACTGCAACTTTTTTTCCACCTAATCTCTATCTGCAGTACTGCAGCATACGGTCATTCACCACAGACAATAAATGTACACTTTGCTCTTCAGCTTCAACCATCTACAGATTGTCTTCTCTAATTTCAGGTATGTTCTATCTATCTAGCTAGCTATCTAGCTAGCTATCTACTTGCTTGTTAAAGCTCTCATTGCTTTGTTTTGAACAATGCCTGATACAAATTATGAATGGCTGATGCTTTTTTGAAGCCTAGAAACTCGACAGTAGAAATGTTCCAAAAACAGCAGCTTCGAAATAAAATCTTTATTTCTTATTGGTGTAATGAAGGTTAGATTCTTTAACAGATGCAGGTAGACACACATACACACACACACACACACACACACACACACACACACACACACACACACACGTACATACATACATACACGCACCCAAAGTGGTTAATTAGGAACACTATACTAATACTGAGTAGGGCCTCCCTTTTGTCTCAAAACAGCCTCAATTCTTTGTGGCATGGATTCCAAGATGTTGGCAACATTCAATTGAGATTCTGATCTATGTTGAGAAGACTGCATCATGCAATTCCTGCAGACTGATTGCCTCTGCAACTAAAGACAGCCTACGATAAAAGGATTAAGCCAATGCATAGTTGACAGAAAAATTTGCCTACTGACCTCAAGAAAGAACATTCTATGTAGCCCTTTTCCCCCACAGCTAGTAACTCCAGCTCCAGCTCGCTCTTAATATGTGTTTTATTTTTCCAGATAATGCATCGCCACTATTATGCCCAGGGTTTTATTTGCTTGCCTGGGCCTATTTTTTTTTAAAAAAAAAGAAAGTCCAAGCAGAATGGTATCATTTTCTTGCATCATAAATTTATCGCCAGAAAATCTTCATCATATAATCTGATGTGCAGCTTCGCAGAATTTGCACAGTCTGACGTTGAGTTTGGCCAAGACTTTATTTGCAACATCGCGTGCAATGTGGCAAGGAGTAAACATATTAGACTACTGTCTGTGCAGTGTCTTCTTCTGTCTGAAGAAGGCTTCAGAGTGCTATCTGACTAAGACGTGTCTTAAAGAACGTGATCCAGCCCAATATTAGCCGGACTATTCAAGATAGCTTTGGGCATTTAAACGCTTAGATTGCTTCACAGACTCTCAAAGTTTTTGCATCACTTTCTATGTGATTATGGTGGTGACTTTTCACCATTTTCATAATGCTTTTCACTGTTCATTATGCTAAAGGAAAGAGCAGTTGCACTACTCAGAGCTCCTTTGAGCTCTAAAGGAACCTACAAGGAGTTGAATTCCAGAGTAAAAGGACTGAAGCAATAAGCTGATGTAAACAAAAGCACTTTAAAATCACAGTAGGTGTCTTTAAGATGGTAAACAAGAATATCAATGTAATTATCTTCTTCAGAGGCTATTAAATAAGGAACACTTTAAAGCAAAGGAAGAAAAGAAACTTGTGTTGTTGTAATGTATTTTATTACACCTTGAGCTGCTTTAGGGCCAACGGAAAACGTCACGCACTGAATTTAATTTTCAGATGTGCATCTTATTTTCACATGAAGAAAATATGTTAAATAAACACAATAATTACTAAAAGTAAGTAAACCAAAAGACACCAGTTTTGTAGAGGTGAAATACAGTTTGTTATTTATGTGGAAACAACATACACATCTGAATCAAGTAAATTCAGTGCAACAATGTTTTTCAGTGTTCAAACATTTAGTAAAATGTAATAAAAACAATAGATACATAAGTAAGAAAGTAAGAAATGACTTTTAATGTATTGGATGACCAACCTGACTGTATTTTGTAAATATAAACAAATTTTGATTTTGATGCATGTCACACTCAAAAAAGCTGGGACGGGGCAAAATCAAAGTAAAAAGTTTATAGAATATTCAATCTACAGTAGGCAGGTGAATTGGTAATAGGTCAGAATATCATGATTAGTGGATGTTTCTTCCATACCCAAAGGGTCAGTCTTTGCAAATAAAGCTGGGTTGTGGCTCAGTTCAAAAAGAACATTTCTCAACACAAGATGCAATGAATTTAGGTCTTTCTCAGATGGTACGAAAGACAGCAAAAATATGTTCTGTGGTCAGATGAGTCCATGTTTCCTCTTGGTTTTGGGAAAAATGACGTGGAGTTCTCTGTGCCAAAGACGAAGGGGACCGTCCAGACTCTTACCAGAGAAAGATGTAACAGCCAATATCTGTCATGGGGATGCATCAGTGCCCTTAGCATGGGTGACTTGCATGTGTGTGAAGTAACCATTGATGCGCAGCCGTATACAGGGATTTTAGAGTGACAAATGTTGCCATTGAGACAATGTCTTTTCGAAGTCCATAGTTACTTCAGCAAGACTTCAGCGTGGCTTCATAGACAGAGTGTGTGTAGAGTGTGTGTGCTTGATTGCCCTGCCTGCAGTCCAGATCTGTCTCATATTGAAAATATATAATGCATCACAAAGAGGAGAATCAGACAACAAAGACTACAGACTGTTGAGCAGCTAGAATGGGAAAAATTCCATTTGCAAAACTGCAACAAATAGTATCCTCCCAAATGATGTGTCATTTGGTGTCATTCAAAGGATGAGTGATGTAACACAGGGGTAAACATGCCTTCAATTGTTGAGATGTAAACAAAGTCATTCATGTTTGATGTGAAATGGTGCACTGTAGAGAAACTTACCAACTCGCATTTATTTACAGTGGTGGTGCTGGGAACCAGGGGTCACAATGTCTACAGCGCAAATATAGACATTTTATTTACTATTCAAAACAACTGAACCCACATGTCCCTTCTGAGTTTTTACATGTAATTCTGATAATGGTAAAATTGGGTACTATTTTGCCTTACAATACCCTGCAGGTACTGCCATAAAAGGCTTTAAAAAAATTAAGGCTTAAGCCAAAACCTCATCTAAAACTATTGTAAAACAGTATCTCTGACACCACACAGGGGATTCATACCCATTTCATAACCATTTTCTAGAATGGTGCATTTCACATCAAACCACTTTGAATGACTTTGTTTATATCTTAACATTTCAATTACACAAGGATTTTGAATCAGTGGAATTCCCCTTTAAAGCAACTTCAGACTCTGAGACATTTGCCTTTGGGGTTGTCTGTAGATTTCACATTTTCATGCCCCAGCAATATAAATGCTTTAACGCTCTCTATATGAAACCAAATATAATTCTGAATGGAACTTAAATGGCGTGAGAGAGTGTTGAACGAAGACAGGAATAAGAAACAGAGAAAGAGAAAGACAGCAGGGAAGAGAAAGGTGAAAAGTGTACTATATATACCAAGACAGATAGCGAGCATTAAGGGGGATGGAAAAGAAAGAGAGCACACACATACAGATACTGACACCCACTACTGCAAATGAGGACATCGTAATGTGGTATGCTGAGTGGACAGAAAACACAAGCTAAACTGTCTCAGCCACTTAACTGCCCGCTTCCCACACATCTCACCCCTTTAACAGCAAATGTCGCTGATGTGCCAAGCTAAGCAGCCCATTAAAATAACATTGCACAGACTAACAGGCCTGTAATGCTATGTATACTCAGTGCCTCATACTCAGGGATTTGGGGTCAGATGCAAAAAGATGTCATCCCCCCTGTCCAAAAAAAAAAAAGAGATTACTGATTACCTGTTAAAAAATGCACTTGGTAACCTAATTCAAAAGGATTACTATTTAGTAACACAATCTGATTACTTTTCATCACTTCTGGATTACTTTTTTAAAGTCATATAATCAAAGCTGCTTTATATAAGATCTTAGAAATGGAGGAAATACCAAGTAAACAAACTCTTTGTCTCTTATTTAAATGAACTGAATAGCTTCTGAACTAAAAACTGCCACAAAATGCACTGTAATTTTGCTGCCTTTTCTGTAAGCTTCGCTCAGTGGGGTCATTTTGGTTTCTATTGGGTGACGTCTACATTTAAGCAGTTGTTTTTCATTTATGTTCAGCTAGTTAGTGTCGTTGTCATGTGTCACATAAAACATAGCAGTATTTTCACCATAATTTATTTCAATTTATAGTAATTTATTTCGATGCTTTAAAATTTTACATAGCAGCACTGAGTAAGCTACTAATCAGCTGCTATTTATTTCTTTTCTTAACTTCTGCAGCCAGATAGTCATGATTTAAAGGTTGAAGGGAGAAATGCGCTCCGTAAAGTCATCAAAATCTTTCAAGATTATTTATTATTGTTACATTCAATAGTAAAAAAACTGTTTACAGCTGTTTACATTTCTCACATTTTTTTCCATGTGTAGTTGCACTACGCTTTGTGTATATCTTTGTGTCTGCTATACTTATCCATGTACCGTAGATTTAGTCATTTATTTGAAATGATAATAAAGAAAAGTTAATTTATTATACCCTTACATGGCCATGGTTTTATCATTAAACAGACTTTATTACAATTATCTTTAATGTTCACTGCTGGCATTATATATGCTATAGAATGTATACTGACTTATTTAGGACTGAAAGTTTAGGACTATGCGCTCAACTTGAGACTTGCCACTATTGACCTAGGACTTGACTGACTGTCAACAGTTGAGACTTGTTACTTGCAACTCAATGACTGTTCACATCTTTGCCATACACTTCACAAATAGCCATCACTGTTTGATCCACCCATCCCCCGTGGACATTTTTTACAATTAGACCATAGTGTATCCTACAATATACTGTATAATTCAAAATATACATACAAAACATGCACCCTATACCATTACAGTTTACTCTAGGACAGGATATTAATAATAATTTGAAGAAGCTTTCTGAGCTTTTTAAGGATGATCATTGTTTGGCCTGCTCAAGGGCTGTCATGATTACTAAATTCATTATTCATCCATCAATTCCTGAGTGTTCATTTAA